GCACCGATGATTAGAAAAATATCTGGACTGTTATTTTACCAGGAACAGACCATTGAGCTATATATATACTTGAGTTTACTCCGTGGTCTGTAGGCCCTACTTGCTAAAATAGGATATAAAGTCTTTTTTTTCTTAAACAATGATGGCCCGAAAGTACGTAAGCAGTGTTAGAGTGAAAACAACCAATAGTTCATTTTCTGTTCATTTTGTCGCTGGTAACTTATTAAGATTTCTAAAATAAATTTGCCTGGGCTATTCAGAAATTTACATATTTTTTTGTATTGTGTATTATTTGTAGAAGGCAATGTTAGATATAAACTAGGTTACCTCATATTTATGTTTTGTGTTAGTTGTGGAATAAAGCTCCACTTTGCTGCGCATGTTATGTTTGTTTTGTTTTACACTTGGTCCCAAAATATACTGGAAAGAGCAACAACGTTTGTGTCATTGTCTGAGCCTCGCGCATCATATTTCTTTGACATCCACCAAAAATGAACACTGTAACTTCAACAGGTAATGCTTACCTTTCTGTGTGCATATAAATTTTGTTCACATTATTATATTGGTAGTTAGATTTTGTTTAGTTTATTCGTATTATTTTTTTAGTAGGATTTACCCCGGTAGGATTCGGTTCCTTCACCGCCATTGTCTTTGCTTTCTGCGTCTGTGTCGTAGTTTTTAATTTTATTTTAATCTTAAGATTTATTTTTATCCACAACACAAAAACACCTCTCAACATAGCACCAAGCCAATAGTAAATAATTGTATTTCGATAGTAGCAAGACTGTTTAGAAGAGCTGTCTTTATATGGTCGCGTTCTATTTTTCTCAAACCATTTAAGGTGTGGGTATTTTTGTGACACTACACTTTCCATTTATTGGTGATCATCGAGAAATCGTTGTTTTTATCTGTGATTCTCTTCCTGTCTCGTCATCAACTCCATCTGTTGGAATTTCTCCAACTGACGAACATCTCATGTGCTGCGACATACATAAAGATTATACTTGTCACTTTCCTCAGCATTACCCCAGAAAACCGGGAGAAAAAATAAATATGTGCACTATATCTCATATAAAAGAAAAATAACTCGAATAAAGATACGTATATCAAGGGCTACACACAAAAATAATCTGTTAGACTTTTTATAAGATAATTATACCGGTAATATTTACCCAACATGTCACAAAAAGTCTCCCATGGAGATAAATAAACATCAGTGTAAAGAAAGTCCATCATTTGTCACATGAAAGTTTTTGTTTTAATATCGAAGGTGGATAACAGGTTGTGTGGGTTATCGATGGGGACGTCGGGCCTCTTAAGATGTTATAGTATGAATTTTTACACGTATAATCATTGACACAGAAAAGATGACATTTCCGCATACTTATGACATGAGTTATGAATCATGTAAGATATTGGAAATGCTAGAGGGTGATCATCACAGATAGAGCAGAAAGTGTTGTTGACATCTGTGCTCTTAACATTAACCACCTAAAAGTTTTCACTAAATAGTTTTACTGCTTTTTTATCCAGTATCAAAGGCTTATAAGTTAATGGTTTTGATAAGACCCATACGTATTTTAAACTATGACCACATCGCCAGAATAAATTCAGAGGAAACATCTAAACTTAATTCGGATGATAAAATCCAATTCTCTTGACTCGAATGTCATTTCGAAAGCTCCTGGCGGAAGACATTTCCTACAATTATAGAAACAATCAGAACCCTTGGGTGTGTGTGTGTGTGAGCCATGGCGGTAAGAGTGCCAAGTTTACCGTGTTTATGGCCAATTACTCGGAAGGGAAAGTGTTGGAAGGTCGGCGTGACGTTTTTTTAGTGAGAGTCCCAGGTGTGTTGTTTGAGGACCCGGCAGATAAATATGTTATAATCCACTCGCACAGGGCAAACCCGTGCGCAAACCCCATTTCGAATCCACAAAATATACTTTTTTTTTCCTCGGGACTTACAAAAATACATATCCATATTAACAAAATATTCCAAATCACCCAATAGTTGTCTCTGGTGTTCCTCATACCACACACACACACACACATATATATATATATATATATATATATATATATATATATATATATATATATATATATATATATATATATATATATATAGAAAGAGAGAGAGAGAGAGAGAGAGAGAGAGGTTAGTTTATGATTGGTTAAATTGGAAATTGGGGGTCAGTGTTTCGACAAAAAGGATTACAGTATCTCCATTGCATTGAGCATCAAATATTGAGCAAAATGAGACCATAATTGTCCACCAAACTAGCAATAGTCAAGTTCCAAATAACTGCCTTAAATCAAATTGCTTTGTTTATTCAAACCATTTGTAGTTATTAGTATTTTTCGTATCACCCACTGTGTTTTTCTTGGCTAGACTAAATAACTACACAGATGATATTCTCTTGTGGTTTACGCAGATTAAAGCTGACAAAACTATTATGCACCAAAAATGTTCTTTAAGTTGCCCGGACAACCATTCTTTCTGGTAATCTCCTGACTTGTACGGAGAGGATTAAGGCAAGCTAAACTGGAAGACCATATAGAGATTCATGTAAATACTTGTAATAAAAGTAGTTCTCTTCAATAAATACGTTAGGCATTACGTGTGAAATTGTGACGAAGTCCCTAACGGCTTACGGCGTAGTAGCAGTGTTGGGGAAAAGCTGTAGAGAGTTGTGGGAACTGTCCAGCTCATCCCGCAGGTCGATGTGTTGCCAGATATAGAAATATTTGTTGTGAGAGTCGACCAAACATTACGTTGATGCGCGAGGAGGGGTGTTTACGGCACTACAAGACCATTATATCCAGTACTTCTTATATTATTCAGTATATAGAACGATCTTACACTTCCATCACTGGATCTCTGGTATGTTTGTACAAATACACGCTAGCAGTGAACACGGAGAAGTCTGGAGAAAACTGTGATGTCCCTCGTGTATCAATTCTTAATGAATATAATGATAATGTTCCTTAATTCTACTTTGTTTTCAACCAAATTGATTTTTCAAGTGAAACTTAACAAACAACCCAGAGTCCGTAAAGAAAATATAGATTAAGTAGTACGTAGACATTAGCGAAGGTAAATTGAAACCCGTCTTCGTAAGCATGGTTCAAACTCACAATTTTCAATTGTTGATAGACCTTAGGGTAATTACTAATTTTGTGACTGTACTATACTATTTTTTGCCAAATTTTGCAGGTACTGTTCAGTATTTTATATTGTTTGTACATAAAAGTTTTAGCATGGTAGGATATTGTGGGGTATATAGATTGTTTGGTTCACACTCAGGATGTGATGGAGAAAGGAAACTCACAATGTGTTCTCTGTATACATGTTGTATTGGATGTACAGTGCAGCTTGGTGCTGGGAAGTGGCAGCGTGGTTACAAGCGTGATGTAGAGAGAGCTGGTTGGTGAGGGTGCTCAGAGGAGGACAGCTTGTGGGTCGCCATACTCGCCGGCGGGAGAGAGGGCCGCCAGGCAGCGGCGGAGGAGGTGGTGTAGCTTGCTGCGGCTGTTGCTAGGAAAGAGAGAGTTCACCACGAGGTCAGGTCTTAAATAGCGGGGGTAGGCGTGGCTTAGTAGTTGACCTCCGTTGATGTATGGCGGCGCTGGTTGACCCAGACCACGAGGCATACACTGGGGAATTCGCAGGGTCGGCTACTCAGCGACAAACAGCGTTTGTAGGGGAGAAATCCACTACAATATATTAAGATTCTGGACAATGAACATTGGGGGGATTAAACAGCACACCGACTTCCTTTATCCGTCAGTGGTAAATTAATCCACCACTACAATATACTGTAAGTTAAGGAACCTGGAAACATGTGCACGCAGCGTCACGAGACAGTGAATATGATTTTACACCAGTTATGTTACATAACAACAGTACGCTGCTGTGCATATGCTGTGTCTGCATAATTATGCACTCTTGTTGATTGAAACATGATAGTTGATGCATGTATTTTTATTGGTACACCAAAAAGAGTATACAGTATATATATATATATATATATATATATATATATATATATATATATATATATATATATATATATATATATATATATATATATATATATATTTAAGTAAATCACTAGGTACACGTGATCTAGGTATATGCTGATAACCACAAGGAAAGAAGAAAACACGAAGTTCCCAAGCGCTTTCGTGTAATTCACATCTTCAGGGGTGAGTACAGACTAAAGAGAAGTACAAAACAAGGTGTATATATACAGAGGAGGGTGAGACCAGGTCCACAATGGTCAGGTATTAGGTAATGACCCTACTAATTTTTAAATAGCACCGCAACGGTCGGTAGTCAGGTCAGAGGGCATGGTGACCCAACCTTCTCACCTGGTTAAAAATCTTCTTAATTACAAAATTGTCCAGTTTGTACATGCCATTACTCAAATTCATGTTGAATACTTCGGTATGTTTAATGAGACTAGATTCTATGATGTTCCTACTATCAATTGAATTACAAGGTAATATTGAGGAGGTATTATCCCAGTCAATGCAATGCTTGTTATCCCTCAAATGAACAAACAGAGCATTGGATTCCTGGCCTGTCCTAACACTATTTATGTTGTTTAAGTCTAGTTACAAGATCTTTACCAGTCTGGCCTAAGTAAAACATATTACATGTTTTCTTCTTTCCTTGTGGTTATCAGCATATATATATATATATATATATATATATATATATATATATATATATATATATATATATATATATATATATATATATATATATATATATATATATATATATATATATATATATATATACACACTCAGGGTGTCCCATAAATTTCCATACATAGGAAAAATAAATTTTATATGAAAATCCATTTTTATTTATATAATATGCTCTACATGACTACCATTCTGTTGAAAACACTCTTCAATGCGTGTCCTCCACTGCTGAAGAACACGTTCAAGCACAGCTGGAGTTATGCTTGTAATGGCGTTGGTGATACGTTGTATGGAAACTTATGGGACACCCTGTATATATATAGTGTGTGTGTTGGGCTCAGAAAACGAAAAACGACTACAACAAGTTGTGGTTGTTTGGAAAATAACCAGAAGCGAGATTTTGCTATAGGTTAGGTTAGGTTCGGTTCGGTTAGTTTGGATTCGGTTCGGTTAGTTTAGGATAAAATCCAAACACAAAATTTAGCTTTCTGGTTATTTTGAAAACAACCACAACGCGTTGTAGTCGCTTTTCGTTTTCTGAGCCCAACATATATATGGGATATAATACGTATACTGCATTGTGATCGCCACGGAGCACAAGGAATTTAATTTGAATACCAGCAGCGAGCAGCAACGGAAGATGAGCAAAACAAATGTTTTTTTTCCGAATTGGAACCGTGAGGTTATTTAGCTGAACCATTGCGTTACTGCGTTTGGTGTGGGCGAGCAAATGTGGTGGGTGAAGTTCTAGGAGGGTAGGTGACGGATGTGCTGTACCTAGTATTGAGTGGGCGGGGATCTAGAATTGTGGGCGGAGGACGGGTGTGGGTGGGCTGAAGATAGGTGTTGGTGGGCGGGGGCAGGTGAGCGGCAGCGATGGAACAGGAGCTCGAAGAGGAAGGCCATGAGGGCGATCCCATATCCCATAGCTAGCAGGTAGAAGGTCCCCTGCAGGTGACCGAGACCCAGTACCACCTGTGCCCCGTCCTGCAACACACACATATACACCTAGGTTAATAAATCCTGCAACACACACACACACACACATGCAGACACACATGTACTGTATGTAATGTATGTAATAAGTCATTTATGTTCAATGCATTTTTTCAGCCTTCGGGCTGCAAACTTTTTCAATTAAACGTTTATTATTATTATTATTATTATTATTATTATTATTATTATAATTATTATTATAATTATTATTATAATTATTATTATTATTATTATTATTATTATTATTATTATTATTATTACACACACACACCTGCCTACCTGAGTAAGTGCTCGTATTTGAACTATCGTATGTGCTACTTTGTCTCTCCGGTTGAGGATAACATTCACTTGACCCATGTACTGTATTGTATATACTTCGTCTTAGTTAGGTTTACACACACTAACCTCCACGTGGTATAGATTTAAAAATATTCTCAGGTTAATACTCTATATATTCAGTACCTTATTCCGCGATAGTAATAGCTTATCAGTTATATATCTTCATTATTTACAATTACTGTATATTTATATCTGTTGTATCTGTACTTTAGTAAGTTTAACGTATAATCAAGTCACTACGTAGAGCAGGTGTGGTCTTTCTTTAACAACATAGACGCCTTAGTTAGCCCCAAATATGACTTACCGCCGAAGAGGGTTAAATTATGATGACATATTTGACCGATAACAAGACATGATCAAGGAGTACAGTAGTTAGTACAGTTGTATATTTTGCACCTCTTATAGTTAAATTTAAGAAAAATCCCCATTGACAGATATATTAATTGGTGACATTCATACTAGTTTCATCGATATCAACAGGAGCATTACTACTCAAGTCTGACATGGTCGAATGCACCTAACATGTTTTAATGGTTTACCTCATTGCTGCTGTCCACCTCCTCTTCCTTCTTTCCTCCTCCTTCCTTCTTGTTCCTCTTGGTACGGGTCTTCCTACCAGAGGCCTCGATCAACTCATCCATCCAGAAGTTGATTAAGCCAGCCTCCAGTAGTCGCTGTTTCAATTCATCAATCCGAGGCCTGAATGGAGCTCCCTTCCTGTTTGGGGAGGGGAAACACACCGTGGACTCATTACCTCTTAAATCGACAGAAACAGTCAGGGGAAAGCTGGAGAAAGTCCCAGTCGACCTACTTAAAGCCCCAGCCAACCTGCCTGAAACCCCAACCGACCTACCTGAAGCCCCAGCCGACCTACCTGAAGCCCCAGTCGACCTACCTGAAGCCCCAGTCGACCTACCTGAAGCCCCAGCCGACCTACCTGAAGCCCCAGTCGACCTACCTGAAGCCCCAGTCGACCTACCTGAAGCCCCAGCCGACCTACCTGAAGCCCCAGCCGACCTACCTGAAGCCCCAACCGACCTACCTGAAGCCCCAACCGACCTACCTGAAGCCCCAACCGACCTACCTGAAGCCCCAACCGACCTACCTGAAGCCCCAACCGACCCACCTGAAGCCCCAGCCGTAGCCGCCATAATTGAAAAGCTCCTCCTTGGCGGTGTGGATGGGTGTGTAGCTGCGGGCGTTGGTGTAGCGGCTTGCAATAATGGATCTGATATAATACTTCCAGGTGATGAAGGCGTGGCGGCCTGCCAGTACCCGGTCCATTTGCTCCTGCAGATCTACCAACTGCGGGAGGCACAAAAAGGGGATAGTTGGGCAAACTCTCAGATTTTAGAGATTCACTACATGTTTCCATAATGTTTTCAAATAGTGCAGAGGTTGTAAGAGTTGGCGGGACATTATCTTGTGAAATGGAATTATGTATCTAAACAATGTGCCGTATGGAAGTAGTTGTGAGGTCCACTTAGCTTTTGTTTCGTAGGTGTATTAATTGGTGGACGCATCACAGATTTGGGATAAAGATTTACCTTGAATTTTTTTCGTGCCTGTAAAGTCACCGTTGACGACTTACCATGAGTTCGCTGAAGACCTTCCTCACAGTTGGGTTCTCATTCATCTTGAGGAATTCCCAGCCGGAGCCATAGGTGGGTTCGTACCCCCAAGTCCAGTGGTCCTTCCTGTGAACCTCTAACAGGTCCTCGAGTGACTCCAGCGTCGCCGACTTACCCGGTACCGTAAGGTGGGCGATGAGCGAGGAGCGATAAGTGATGGTGAGCAGCATACAGTACACCCACCACCACCCCAGCAACATCTGTGGGTGATCATCAGTACTGTACTACACCCACCACCACCCCAGCAACATCTGTGGGTGATCATCAGTACTGTACTACACCTACCACCACCCCAGCAACATCTGTGGGTGATCATCAGTACTGTACTACACCCACCACCACCCCAGCAACATCTGTGGGTGATCAAGTACTGTACTACACCCACCACCATCCCAGCAACATCTGTGGGTGATCATCAGTACTGTACTACACTCCACCACCACCCCAGTACATCTGTGGGTGATCATCAGTACTGTACTACCACCACCACCCCAGCAACATCTGTGGGTGATCCTCACTGTACTACACCCACCACCACCCCAGCAACATCTGTGGGTGATCATCAGTACTGTACTACACCCACCACCACCCCAGCAACATCTGTGGGTGATCATCAGTACTGTACTACACCTACCACCACCCCAGCAACATCTGTGGGTGATCATCAGTACTGTACTACACTCACCACCACAGCAACATGTTTGTGTGGTAACAATACTTATTTTGTTTAGAAATACAACATTACGTAGCCAGACTAAATTCTCCTCAGTCTACCATAACCTATCACAGCCTTGTCAAATTTATCACAACATGAGTTACCCTCTCGCACCTTAAAATATCCTATCGAGGTCAACTCAGATAATGCCACCGATGTTTTACCTGAGCGGTGATATTCTTGGGTAGCCTCGAGGGGGGGTCCTCCATCAGAATGGCCAGGGTGAGCATGAGAGACCTGCCTAGGCCTAGGGCACGTCCTCCTGATACCCACGCCCACGCCCCTTGCAGTCCCCATAACACCACGCCTGCTACCACCGTTGACACCACCATCGCCACCCACAGATTTGCTGCCGAAGGTCACAGCATGTTATCATGGACATTTTAAAAGTTAAAATGTCAGAGGACCTTAAAACTTTATTCTCAGGTTCTCTCCTCACTTAAGAAGGTCTAGTTAGTCTACACCTCACATTAGGAAGCCCTGGTGCCATGTTCTCTACTGAATAGGCTCTAAAATATGTGCTAACTTCATAAGGCCCTGTTGATATATGTGCTCACTTCAGAAGGCCCTGTTGATAGATGTGCTCACTTCAGAAGGCCCTGTTGATAGATGTGCTCACTTCAGAAGGCCCTGTTGATAGATGTGCTCACTTCAGAAAACCCTGTTGATGTGTTCACTTTAGAAGGCCCTATTGATATATGTGCTCACTTGAGGAGACTAACAATTCACATGCTTTTATAAGAGCCCTTGATAATCATGTGATCAATTGAGAAGACCTTGACCGGAACTTTGCTCACCTGAAAACGTACTAATAGGTACTTTTCTCACCTGAATTAGTACTAATAACTCAAATCCTCACTTGAGAAGAGCCTAATGAGTATATACACTACTGTACACACCCGAACATTACTACTGTATATAGTCTACTCACTTGATAATGTGTCCAGTAAGTCATGTCCTCAGCTCACCTGAGAAAGGTCTGACGAGAGCGAAGGACTGGGAGAGAGGCAGGGGCTTGGAGGTGATCATGACGAGGGGTTCAGAGGCGTAGATCCTGGAGTAGTCGACGACGGGGAGACGCGTCTCCATCCAGGACAGCATCATTGAGAAGTCTGCTTTGTGGTGTTGCAGTGTTCCCACGATCCCCGTCCAGTTGCCGCTCTCTGTCGACGTCCCCCACTGGTTGTCCCACGGTACCCGCATCTCATACCTGCCATGCAAATCATAAATGACGTTATATAACTCGTACCGCTCTATATGTGACAGTTGTAAAATACCTCTTCCATCAACGTCTCCCACAAGGTTAACTCGTACCCTTCTATGTGATAGAGGCAGTTCATAAGTGAGATTGATTGATTGAAACATTTTATTTAGCCAGAAAAATACAGATACAGAGTGGATAATAATAACAATATTAACATGGCTGAGCCAGTTGAGAACCTGAGCTCTTTTTGAGGCACCTGATATATACTATACATTTATCTCAAGGAAGAATTATGTAACATTTAGTATCATCTGGAATAGTACAATAGCATGGTGGTAATAAATACATCTCATAATGTTATCACGGTTATCACTTCAATATTTATTTATTTCATTATTTATTATTATTTTTATTTATTTATTTTGTTTTTATTTATTTATTTATTTATACATACATACATACAGTATATATATATATATATATATATATATATATATATATATATATATATATATATATATATATATATATATATATATATATATATATATATATTGTTACGACCGTGTCGTATTTTTCTATTTTTTTATATATATAACATGCTTCCAGTCACCTTAACCCTGTGCTGTTAAGGTTTTAACTGTTATTATTTGTTCAAACCCATTTTGTATTGTAACAAGCATTCTTTGTTCTCTAACGACCATCTGCATCGTTAAACGACCCACCGGCGGGTCGCGTGGCGGGAGCCGACCTTATATATAGGACCCACCAACTGACGGAGTTAGTTCAGTCCTCTTGTCATACAGTTCACATCCTTTGAGTGACACTCGTCACCTGTTACTTATACTTGATTTATTTGTGTTGTTCCTGTCGCCACCAATGTGGTATATCTATGTGAGTACCTATTTATGTCTCTATTTATGTCCATCAGTATTTGCTTCGTTACATTTAAGTAATTCAGTGTTGCTTCACGTTAGTTAATTTCAGTGTTAGTTTTTATATGTTTATGCAGTGTTAACGTAATCCAATGCTTTATTTTTATTCTTTTGATGTTTCGATGTTTAGTATCATTTGCGTCTTAAAAGTTTCGATGGTGAATCAATATGTTGTGACAGCCTACGAGGCTCTTTATTGTGTTAATATTTAATTAATTAAATTCTTAAAGGTTTACTTTATTTATTTTTATTCTTTTAATTTACTTCACTTTTTTTGTTTGGTTACGCCTAGAACCTGGATATTTAAGTAAATTAAGAAACGGCGTAACAAATATATATTAGAGTGGAATTTAAAAACATAGGAATATTGGGGTGGCAGCAGTACAACCTGGGTTGTACGGTTGAACAAGAGGACAGAGCTTTCAGGATTATGTCTAGTTGGCAATTATGTTTATTGCAATGGTAATTACTTATTTATTTACATGATAATTTCCGATAAAACGGATTTGATGGTACAATAAAAGCAGGTACTGTAAATATAGTAAGTGTTACAAGAAGTATTAATACTTCGACAATAGATATTTATTTAGAGATGATTTGAAGGAAGGGAGCGTAGTGTTTGCTCGGATGGGTGGGGGTAAGTTGTTCCACACCTTCACACCATGATATTTTATGGAGGTCTGGGACTGAGAGGAGCACATGGGGGGTGGTCTTAGTAGCTCTGGGTGCCTTAAGTTGTATCTCTGATTATTCCGGAACTGGAAGTAATTATTGTCAAGCAAGTGATTGATAGATTTGTAAACAAAGAGGGCACAGCAGTAAGTGTTAATATCCTCGAATTTTAAAAATTTCAATATACTGTAGCAAATTTTTCGTTTGTGATCTGTTTTTTTCAAGTAGGTCATTGTCCGTACAACTCTCTTTTGTGCAGTAACCAGAGATTGTGTTTTGAAGAGCCAGAGGCCCCCCATAGTGTGTGACAGTGTATCAGGTGTTGGTAAACAAGATCATGATAGATTTCTTTCATTGCTGTGAGAGTGAGTGACTGTCGAGTGTGATACATGATACCGCACTGTTTATTGATTTTACTGTGAATGGCTTGTATGTGGTTTCTCCAGTTAAGTTCTCATCAACAATAACTCGGAGGTATTTAGTATTTTGTTCGCGTTTGAGGACTATATTACCAAGGTACTAGTGATAATTCACATAAGCGCTAACATAAATTATTCTCACTCTTCAATGGTGTTTCTCATTTCATTTAGTCATTATCTTGAATGTTCGGTTTTATTTTTCATTAGTGTCTTAATCACAAGAACCTATAATGGTGTACACCGAGTATTACTATTCTTACTTCTGTATGTCTAAGCCGCTTCGGAGACTGTAAATAAGAAGCTATCAGTAGGAAAAGTGACTGCCGGGTGATGAAGGCAACTGCCACGAAGAGGATAAATATAACAGGTATAACAAAAAGAGCCAGACACGCGCCACAAACAAAGGTTAAGTTTGTGAAGCTAAAACAAAATATTAACAGCAAAGCGATAGAAAGATAAAAAGAAAGCGAGAGGAAAAAAAAAAGAGAGATAAACGAGGAAGAGGTTGAGAGACGTAAAGATAAAAGAGTAGTGAGAAAGAGAAAGACTCACGTAAAGTTAAGGATGGAGGAGATGACGGACAGCATGCGTATGTCCAGTGAGTCGATGGGGTCCACTAGGCTGCCTCCCTCCTCGCTCTGACGACGGAACTCTATGTAAGGGAACCAGTTCATAGATACCACCTTGAACTTGTGGCCTTGGAAGTTCTTGAACTGGTCTGTAGGGAGATGAGGGTTTATAGTGTTATCTACTTTAAGGAATACTGAAATAATGTCTTAATTTACATGTTAATTATAAACTTGCATTACACAGTACGGTATAATCAATACTACATTTTGTGAGTAAGGGCCAATACACCTGATGCCTTCATTTGTATTACAGGTATTGCACTTCGACTTCAGCGACATTCGTAATGAATTTACACAATGGTAAATATTATTGGTTAATACTGTATAAGTGTGTGTGGGGGGATCTCAAGGAACGCGTTAGCACGGTTGTGTTTGTCCGTGCATGTGATTTAATGCTGACATGCTCGCCTCTTCGGTTCCATTCCCGGGTGGGGTGGAATTTTGATTGTTTCTCTACGCTATTTAACTTGTGCAAAAAAAATAGAGACCTGAATATAAATCGATTATCATTTACGTTTCGGAAGTAGTGGTTAGTGACAGTGTGAGTGTAGAGGTGTGTTTGTGGCAACTGCTAAACTTTGTAAAAGTGGGTAGAGGAAGACCAGTAGCATTATTATCACGTGAAGATACTCGCCAGGGAAGAGATCAACTCGGTGCAGGAAGCCTTGAGTGGTGGACCAGGTGTCTATGAGGAGGGTGGTTGAGAGGCCGCCCGCACAGTACATACACCGCCCGTACACGTACACACCACCTAACATAAATAGGCAAGTCATCTCACATGTAAGCAGTACAGTATACACATGAAAGTACAGTAGGTCATGTACATATAGTTACATGACCTTTAGTAGCAATATGCTCACTTAGCGTTTTTCATGAAACTTGAACCATCTAAATTTGGTAGCTCTCATATATTTAAAAATTTCCTCGGTGTCTTTGTACTTTATATGTATATGAATACACGCACACACCGATGGTGGTCGTAAGGTTGTGCAGTTAATGGATGATGTAGAACAATACGGCATGGTTCTCATTTTTTTACCAAATTTGAATGACAATATTTGTTTCGACTAATTTTTTAGTAATGTAACAAAACTTGTTGTTTCAAAGTGAAAGCTTAAAGTCTGACTATTGAAACAATTACAGATTTGGGCAACATCGAGCATTAGTGCCATAAAACTCTTAACAAAAGAAGGTTCCACAGCGTCTGAAATTCATCACCTAATGGTGGGTGTTTGGCACAGACCCCACCTCGTGCTTACAGACCTGCACACCTGTACCAAAGCACATCAACAGTCTCACCTGAGGTCACCTGTCTGCGCTTGATAGATGCAGTCGATGCTTCTGTTCTGACGGCCATGTCCGAGTTGACAACGTCGGCGAAATGCGTGTTAGGAAGGTATAATGGTTTAGCAGCATCAGTCGAGTCACTAGCGTCAGAACTAGCGACGTCAGTTAAGTGAATAGATGATTTAGCAATGGCGGGAGAGTGAAGAGCATCAGCGTCGTCAAGAGGGTAGAGAAGGAAGGCGAGGTAGAGAAGGTTAGCGGTGTTTCTGAAGGTGTAGTGGTCGAAGACGTCCTGGGTAAGCTTCTTGGGTCCCATTACCACCACGTACGTCTCTGGCCATTGGTACAGCTCCGTCCTCTCTAGGAACCTGACCACATACACGGAGAGACAGCAGGTTTAGGGAAAGATTGACAGACAGTGGCTAGAAAACTGAGTTAAGAAGGAACGGGCAGGTAGGAAAAGCCGATAAAGAGAGACGAGTCTCTTAATTTACTGTAAGTATCAGAAGCTTATCGTTAACAAACTTCAATTCCTAACTGGCAGTCATATCTATAGGACCCGATTTCACTTGTCACATCAGACAGTGTATGTCAGTTTCCGTGTGATTTACAGTACTGTACAGTACCGATTTTCAAGAAGGGAGATAGAACACTATCCTTTATCGTCCAATTAGTTTAATGTAAATTGTAGTCAAATTATTGGAAGCAATAATTTCAAATCCAATTGGAAATCACCGGGAGAAATACAAATTGATCAACGATTCCCAGCATGGCTTCACAAGTGGGCGTTCATGTCTGACAAATCTATAATCATTCTTTTCAACTGTTTTCGAATCAGTGGATGACGGACACATTCATGATGTGGTTTACCTCGCCTTTCGCAAATCCTTCGACAGGGTCCCCCACGAAAGACATACGTAATGTGGGTGTTGTTTTTTTTTATAGTTTAACAAATTTATTGACAAAGCTTGGAGTATTCGTGGAATTGGAGATGTTCTAAACTGGACTAGGGCGTGGTTACAGGACAGGACAGTCAACAGTCAGTATTAATGGCACACGTCACAAGTGGAGCACCCCAAGGCTCAGTACTTGGACCAGTACTATTTTATCATATACAGTACATAAACAACATAAGCATAAGCGTAGACAGCAACATAAGTAAATTTGCTGACGACACTAAAATAGGGCGTGTAATTAAATTTGACGAGAACTCCGCAAAACTACAGGAAGATTTAAAAAATTTTCATATGGTCGAAAAATGGCTAAGTGAGGAGCGATGTGATCGAGGTGTATAAATGGAAGTCAAGGGTTAAATAAAGGTGTTACAAAAGAGGTACTCAAACTGTCCAACCCGGTAGCGAACTCGTAGCAATGGGTTTTAATTAGACAAATTTAGATTTAGGCGCGAGATAGGTAAACACTGGTTTTGGTTTGGAAATAGAGTAGTGAATGAGTTCAACAAGTTACCAAACACCATCATTAACTCGAACTCGTTGGGTAGCTTCAAATGGAGGTTGCATGAACGATAGGCGTTGGGTGTAAATGGTACTGCCCAGTTTGGGGAAATAGGCCCGCTGCAGTTTCCTCCATTCTTATATTTTTATATCCATTCAAACAAACATTCTTTCACCACAGACACATTCACACTTTAAAGACATACACAAACAAATGAAGTCTTTCAGTAACCCCTTCCATCTTCACCTTAATATAGGTTCCATGAAGTTCTCGTGGGTGATGTCGAGGACAATAGCGCGGCACCTGAACCTGACGTCGCCTTGACGCAGATCCGCCAGCACCTCATCTGACGTTAGGGAAGATTCACCTAAATCAAGCGGCTCCCCTTCCTCGCCCACTGACACCGTTACATGAGGAAACATTCTCTCAGAGTTCATAAACCTGCAGGTATGAATTTTGATGAATTAAACAATATTTTAAGTAAACAAATGAAAATTCTACAAGAAAAACTAAATTTTAGAAAATATAATTTATTACTACGGTCATATTATTATGTTTTGACAGCCTTGTTATTTAGGGATGTAGGGGTGGATATTGGTTTACACCTATTAGTACCTCTGTTCGTACTTGTACTCGGCCAAAAAGTGTTGGTGTCTTTTTTAAGTGGAGTATTGTCCTCTATGAGCGATGGCAGATGGTAGCCTTGGTGAGGTAAGGATCCCACAGAACTCTGCAATGTCACCTTCTGACAGCATTAGCTAAAGTACAGTCAATCGGATAAGGATTTATCAAAACACGATGTAAATAATGAAATACTTTTGTTGTTGTATTGAATTGAAATAGATTGAAGGAATATATCAGTGGCCATCAGCTAGGCATTGACAGAACTGTGGAAAGATGGATTATGAGATATTAGTCGACCAATAATTTGGAAAAAATGCCACATTAATGAAATCACAATGACAAATATTATAAGAATGACTTAAGCGAGGATTGAAATTCCCAGCAGGCCGATAAAAGCTGCAATCGGGCACTTTTAACAAAATCACTTCGAATCTCGCCGAATTGTGAAAACATAAGAGGCGTTCATTAAAAATCAAACGACTCGTATGAAACATCGATATACAACACCTGATGGAGTCACTCTGGATTGTGAATGGTGTTGATCCACCAAGAAGACTCCAGACCACTCGACGTCGTCTTGTGTCCTCCAATTTAAGTTGATTTTAATGTTACGTTATTTTCGTGAGATAATAGTCGTTTTCTTCTGTTCTAAATTTCGTTAACTGACCTGAGAACATGAAAGATGGCGCCTGGGGTTCCCGCAGCGCCCACGAGCATCAGATGACACTCGAGCAGCCTCTCCTCCACCACTTGCCCCATCAGCACCTCTAAGTCACGACCTGTCACCAGCGTCCCCGGATCTTTGTGAGCGTCTTGACAGGTGACTTGGACTCCAATACACCCCGCCAACAGCACACACAACAGGCCAAGAGATAGAACGTCCATGTTTACACCTGTTGAAGTTATCTGGAAGAAATCCCCCGAAAAAAGCCAATAGAGTCCTAAGGTAGTTTTAATCTACAGTATATGGTGTGACGTGACGTGACGTTACGTTGAGAAAACTACCGCAACAACCTCAACAAACCATAGCTAGAGGGGAGCTGGTGGTAGAGCGGTACCGTTCTTGCCTCGCAAGCAAGATGTCACGGGTTCGATTCCCGGGCTGGCGGAAGTTGTTTGGACACTTCCTAGTACCCTTCGTCCCTGTTCACCTAGCAGCAAAATAGGTACCTGCTGTAAGTCGAAAGTTGCGAATTCGTATTCAGGGACAAGTTGTTGGAACTTCCAATAACTTGTTTAGACATAAACCATTGACTCTTCAGGCTTCTACGCCCTTGACTCTTCAGGCCTCGACTCTTCAGGCTTCTACGCCCTTAACTCCTGAGACATAAGGCAAGCATGAACTTAGCATGCTTCCCTGTTGGGCGCTGTAAACGCTTCTGCGCTTCACCTTACACAAAGTTGTAGGGGGGTGCCCAAAAAAAAAAAAAATAGCTAGACCACGTGGGGATGGAACGCGAGAAGCCGGCTGAAACGTCAGAGGTGACGTTTCATGGCGCCACTGGAAAGATGCCTGATTGGTTGTAGATTTCCGCCTAAAAGTAATGTGGTGACCATAGTACACTGGACAAAGAAGAAGCAGGTTTGACGTAGCTGAGGAAGGTGGAGTTCAACACATAGGAACGACCTTAACTTGAGTATACATTATATTGTTGAGTGTGTGAGTCGAGGAAAAATAGGATATTACAATTTCTGTGTATAGGATGTAATATCGTGTGTAGAAAATAATATTGTGTACTTGGCTTGAAATTTCGTAACATTATATTGGTAAAAGAACGGTGGCGTTATCTAATCTTCTTTGTATTGTATTGGTGTAGTGTACCCCAACCCTCGTTATTGTTTGCTCACTTGTCAACGTAATTATGATTAACGTAACTTGTTTGTCTGCTGAGTTGTGAATATTCTCAAATCGGTTAATATTTGTCTTTTGATTCGTTTGTTGGTACTTGTCAGATGCCTTATTTGTTTTGTTAAGTGAATTTGTATTTTAATTTACTGTTAGTGTATTGCTTATTCCTTTCATTTATTAATTTCATGGCGACCTTGCTATTTTTTTTCACTGTTACCCGAGTGGTGAACTATGGTTTGACAATCTGGGAAAATGGCTACAGACTATATATTAGAGAGAAGAAACATATCAGAATGCATAGATAAAATATGGAAGCAAATATTCACTATCTTCGCCCATTCAGTGATCATGAAATTTAGGTTTTGTTGGTTCTTGGGGTCCGCGTCCTAAGTGTTTTTCAAACTCGGTTTTCTTTGTTTTCCGGCATTTTTAACACCAAACTTTTGAATGAAGATCCCGTTTAAGAAAATAAATGATGGAAATTAAACTGAACATTTAGCAATCCTGTAGTGGATACTCTCCCCTACAACAGCCTAGCCGCATCCCACAGCAACGGAGTTCTGCCAAAGCCTAGTCGCCTAGAGTCGGGCCAAGTTTCTCTGACGAGTCTAGACACCGGCAACTTGTACTTCCGTTCCACGTCCGCTGGACGTGTATATAAGTTCCCATTCTCGCCGTGTAGGAGGATTCAACCTGGAGGCCAGAAACACTCAACACCACCTTTAACGAAGCTCCTGTACAGCAACTCCCTTCAGCACGCTACTCACCCAACAGGACCTCTGAGCAAGCTTCTCACCACGCGGCAACTCCCTAGCACTGCACTGTACTTACAATATATAAAGAAAACGCATTGTGAGTTTCTCTCCTACCTCATCCTGAGTGTGAGATATCTACTGGCCACATTCATCACGCCAAAATCCTGCCCAAAACGAATACCTGAAATACCCCAAACTACATAAAAAGAAGAATCATCATTTTAAGGAACATAAAGATTGTAGAGTATTACCAAACAGAAAATGCCTCACACCAACACTTAAGACTGTCACCTGCCTTGACACACACACTTAAGTCTGTCACCTGCCTTGACACACACACTTAAGACTGTCACCTGCCTTGACACACACACACTAAAGACTGTCACCTGCCTTGACACACACACACACACACACACACTAAAGACTGTCACCTGCCTTGACACACACACTTAAGACTGTCACCTGCCTTGACACACACACACACACTAAAGACTGTCACCTGCCTTGACACACACACACACACTAAAGACTGTCATCTGCCTTGACACACACACACACTCACTTACGACTGTCACCTGCCTTGACACGCACACACACACACACTTATGACTTAAGTATAGACAGTCAGCCAACACCTATTTCTTTGGAGGGGGGGGGTAGTATTCTAGGTTAAGTAAGCCAGTTAGATGCATTCATCATCAATTATGAAGAACAGTCATCATGCCGAACTTTTGTGAGTCAAGACTAGCATGCAAGACGTATTGTTGAATTATATGTTGTCAACATAAACCACAGACATATACAAAGTGGAGGAGACGTTTTGATAATAAGGTGTCGTAGTCCCCAAGTCAAGCCCACATCCTAAATATAAAAAACTCGTACATTAATTTCATAACCAAACTGGTGATGTGAGAATACACTGAACTGGCTTATAAAGCTGTCGGTCAAAATTATGTCGAAATCGCGCATAAACTTAACCATCGCGTGTAAAGAATTGTAAGAATGCTTATGAATGAGGGGCGTTGGTGAGTGAGTACACACATCACTCAGCGTCAGGGACAACAGACCCAGTATTACCACACACTATTCCTATAATGCCCTGCCACTGTCGTAACTCACTTTCGGGATAATTAAAAATGTACTGTACACGCACTCACTCGCTTTGTGTTGTCAAACTGTCCGTCCTTTCTTATCTCTCTCTCTCTCTCTTTCTCTCTCTCTCTTTCTCTCTTCTTCTTCTTCTGTTTATTGGTGTCTTGTTAATCTGTTTACCTATATCTTTCTATGATTTTCTCTTACTATGCTTCTTTTTCACTTTGTCATTTTGCATCTACTTCTCTGTCTCTGTGTATTTTGTTTATTTATTTAGGTACCACTTTCTCTTCCCCCGTCTTTGTGTGTGTGTGTGTGTGCGCGCGCGCACTGACAATTGGAGAGAGAATTTCTATTAAACTAACACTCAAGAAGAAACCAACGGCCCGAGCCACTTACCTTCAACTTTAAACACTGTCGCCTGCCTTGACACACACACACACACACACACCCACTTAAGACTGTCACCTGCCTTAACACACACACACACACACACACAGACACACACAACTGACGACTGTCACCTGCCTTGACACACACACACACACACACACACACCTACTGTACCTGCCGACATTTAAGACTGTCACCTGCCTTGACACACACACACACGTCACCTGCCTGACACACACACACACACGCACACAAGACTGTCACCTGCCTTGAAACACACACACACACTTATCACCTGCCTTAACACACACGTCACCTGCCTTTGGACACACACACACACACACACACACAGACACACACACAGACTTAAGACTGACTGTGACACACACACACACACACACACACCTTGAACACACACTCACCTGTCACCTGCCTTACAAACACACGTACACACTTAAGACTCATTACCTTTGACACACACTGTCAGCCTTGTCACCTGACACACACACACACACACTGAAGACTGTCACCTGCCTTGACTGAAGACTATCACCTGCCTTACACACACACGCACACACAGAAGACTCTGTCACCTGCACACCACACACACACACACACACACACACACACACACAGAACACACACTAGTCACCTGACGACACACACTTACACACACTGTCAGACTGAGTTGCCTGAACACACACTGACACACACACACACACACACACACACACACACACTGTCCTGACGCACACACATCTGCCTTGACACACACACACACAAGACTGTCACCTTGAACACACACTTGACACACACACACACTGTGCCACACACATGACTGTCACTTGACACACACACTTGACACACACACACACACACACATGAACTGCCTTGACCTGCTGTCATTACACACACACACACACACACACACACTGACACACTGTCACTGACTGCTGCCTTGGCATCACACCTACACACTGCCACCTGTCACACACACACACACATAAGACTGCCACCTGTCTTGACACACACACAATGAAGACTGCACCTGCCTTGAAACACACACACACACACACACACACACACTGAAGACTGTCACTCCCTTGACACACTGAAGACTGTCACACACACACACACACACACACACACACTGAAGACTGTCACGTGCCTGACACACACACACACACACACACACTGAAGACTGTCACCTGCCTGACATACACACACACACACACACACACTGAAGACTGTCACCTGTGACACACACACACACACACATAAGACTGCCCTGCCTTGACACACACACACTGAAGACTGTCACACACACACACTTAAGACTGCCACCTGTCTTGACACACACACACACATGTCACCTGACACACACACATACAAGACTGTCACCTGCCTTGAAACACACACTGCAGACTGCCACCTGCCTTGACACACACACACATGGACTGTCACCTGCCTGAAACACACACTGCAGACTGCCACCTGCCTTGACACTGAGACTGTCACTGAAGACTGTCAGAAACCCACACTGACACACACTGAAGACTGTCACTACTTGACACACACACTTGAGACTGTTACCTGCCTTGACACACACACACACACTTAAGACTGTCACCTGCCTTAAGACTGTCACCTGCCTTGACACACACGCAATGAAGACTGTCACCTGCCTTGACACACACACACTTAAGACTGTCACCTGCCTTGACAAACACACACTCTGAAGACTGTCACCTGCCTTGACACCCACATATACACACACACACACTGAAGACTGTCACCTGCCTTGACACACACTCACTGAATACTGTCACTTGCCTTGAGGTTAACACTGCCTGTTACCTTTGTCTGTCAATTCTTACGGACCATATCGTGCCGCTTACCAACTTGTACCTTACCTTGATAACGCTCACCTACCTGGACCTCCGCCACCCGTGATGTTGGCCGCCTCACTGATGATGATAGTGGCCAGGATTATACCACACACAGTTGCTGCTTCATCATTTATGAAATTAGTTGTTCGGCAGAGGACGGCACCTACAGTAGTCTAGATATATACTTGTAATGAGCAAAACTTATTATTTTATTTTAACATGGATGAATAAATTTTCTCTAACCTGTAATTTTCTCTTCAGAATACAATATTTGTAAATGATCATACGTACTTTAAGATATTGGCCATATGGGATATTAGCCATCCTTTATCTTATGGACAACGTGTTCATAATAAGTTGTAATAAACAGGGATATTAAGTTTTCGATAATGACTAATACTCAGCCTAGAGATGCTGCATTTCAAATTATTACTTCAAATCCGAAATGATGATGGACACACACACACACACACACACAAAAGGATTTTTTTTCTGGGGGTTTTGACCGATCATTAACCTTTTTACTCGGCCGACCCGCCACCACCTAACCTTCAACAGGCTGCCCTGTGTTCATTTAAGTATTAAGTCGATAGGTTAAGGTGTGTGGTTCTTGGTTAATGTATGATGCTCCACCCAGTAGCTCCTGTTTAATGTAAGAGATGTTTTCTGGTGATAGTGTGTGTTAGTTTTTTTTTCGCCACTATCAGATTACTAGCCGTTTGGACGCTCTTTCCAGGTTTAATATAAGAGGGGACCTGTGATGTTCGGATAACACCCTTCTCACGTGTGTCTGGGCCGAGACTAGAACCCTTGACATATGGTGTGTTGTGTTACAATGGTTTGTGTGGTAGTGTTGTTACAATGGTTTGTGTAGTAGTGTTGTTACAATGGTTTGTGTGGTAGTGTTGTTACAATGGTTTGTGTGGTAGTGTTGTGTTACAATGGTTTGTGTGGTAGTGTTACAATGGTATGTGTGGTAGTGTTGTTACAATGGTTTATGTGATAGTGATGTTACAATGGTTTGTGTGATAGTGTTGTGTTACAATGGTTTGTGTGGTAGTGTTGATACAATGGTTTGTGTGGTAGTGGTTACAATAGTTTGTATGGTAGTGTTGTGTTACAATGGTTTGTGTGGTAGTGTTGCTACATTGGTTTATGTGTGGTAGTGATGTGTTACAATGGTTTATGTGGTAGTGTTGTGTTACAATGGTTTAGTAGTGTTGTGTTACAATGGTTTGTTGTGTGTGGTTTATGTGTAGTGTTGTGTTACAATGGTTTACGTGTGGTAGTGTTGTGTTACAATGGTTTACGTGTGGTAGTGTTGTTAAATGGTTTGTGTGGTAGTGTTGTGTTACATTGGTTTATGTGGTAGTGATGTGTTACAATGGTTTATGTGGTAGTGTTGTGTTACAATGTTTACGTGTAGTGTTGTTAAATGGTTTGTGTGGTAGTGTTGTGTTACATTGGTTTGTGGTAGTGTTGTGTTACAATGGTTTACGTGGTAGTGTTGTTAAATGGTTTGTGTGGTAGTGTTGTGTTACATTGGTTTATGTGTGGTAGTGATGTGTTAATGGTTTATGTGGTAGTGTTGTGTTACAATGGTTTACGTGTGTGTTGTTAAATGGTTTGTGTGGTAGTGTTGTGTTACATTGGTTTGTGTGGTACAATGGTTTATGTGTGGTAGTGTGTGTTACAATGGTTTATGTGTGGTAGTGTTGTGTTACAATGGTTTATGTGTGGTAGTGTTGTGTTACAATGGTTTGTGTGGTAGTGTTGTGTTACAATGGTTTATGTGTGGTTGTGTGTACAATGGTTTATGTGTGGTAGTGTTGTGTTACAATGGTTTATGTGTGGTAGTGTTGTGTTACAATGGTTTATGTGGTAGTGTTGTGTTAAAATGGTTTATGTGTGGTAGTGTTGTGTTACAATTTATGGTGTTGTGTTAAATGGTTGTGTGTGGTAGTGTGTGTTACAATGGTTTGTGTAGTAGTGTGTGTTACAATGGTTTATGTGTGGTAGTGATGTGTTACAATGGTTTATGTTAGTGTTGTGTTACAATGGTTTATGTGTGGTAGTGTTGTGTTACAATGGTTTACAATGGTTTATGTGTTGTGTGTGTTACAATGGTTTATGTGTGGTAGTGTTGTGTTACAATGGTTTATGTGTGGTAGTGTTGTGTTACAATGGTTTATGGTTTGTGTGTGGTAGTGTTGTGTTACAATGGTTTATGTGTGGTAGTGATGTGTTACAATGGTTTATGTGTGGTAGTGTTGTGTTACAATGGTTTATGTGTGGTAGTGTTGTGTTACAATGGTTTATGTGTGGTAGTGTGTGTGTTACAATGGTTTATGTGTGTGTAGTGATGTGTTACAATGGTTTATGTGTGGTAGTGTTACAATGGTTTGTGTGTGGTAGTGTTGTGTTACAATGGTTTATGTGTGGTAGTGATGTGTTACAATGGTTTATGTGTGGTAGTGTTGTGTTACAATGGTTTATGTGTGGTAGTGTTGTGTTACAATGGTTTATGTGTGGTAGTGTTGTGTTACAATGGTTTATCTGTGGTAATGATGTGGTACAATGGTTTATGTGTGGTAGTGTTGTGTTACAATGGTTTATGTGTGGTAGTGTTGTGTTACAATGGTTTATGTGTGGTAGTGTTGTGTTACAATGGTTTATCTGTGGTAGTGGTGTGTTACAATGGTTTATGTGTGGTAGTGATGTGTTACAATGGTTTATGTGTGGTAGTGATGTGTTACAATGGTTTATGTGTGGTAGTGTTGTGTTACAATGGTTTATGTGTGGTAGTGTTGTGTTACAATGGTTTATGTGTGGTAGTGTTGTGTTACAATGGTTTATCTGTGGTAATGATGTGGTACAATGGTTTATGTGTGGTAGTGTAAATACGTTACTGTAATAATCTATGTTTATTAATACCAGTGCCCTTCACTTACAATACTGTATGTATATATTTCATAGGTAAAAATAACATCCAAAGTAATGCATCTCCATACAATATATGTACAGTAATGGTATAATGACCGTGTAGAAAGCAGTTTCGGATAGCATTCCATTTTCCAGGAACCTATACTGAGTGCTCATCGGAGTAATGTCTAGTATAACAAAAACATACTAACTAACCATGGTCTTATGGGAAAATGCTCCATGCCACTCAATACAGTACTGTACATGACATCAATTACCTAAAAAATTAATTGCTTCTAGAAAGTCTGTCCCAAACCTTTACCTGCAACTGAATTTACTGTACTGTACCTGGTGAGGCTGTTAGAAAAGTTCAGTAAGATATGCTAAAAAATGTAAGATGGGAAACAGAACACTGTATAGTACCACTTTTTTGTTTGCAGAGGCACAAAAGGAGTTCATATTGAACTTGTATGGCATGAAACCTTTTGAGTTCTTTATTAGTACAGTATATTGTTCTTTACTGTAGCTTTATTTGTTTTTTATAATTAATATTTATACTGTATTTGGGAAGATCATTTGTATTCCCTGTACTGTATATGTTCCTTTTACAGAAACTTCCTAATACAGAAGACTGAAATCCTGAGGCAGAGGAAAAAATATGCAAAGATTGATTACTGTATTTATTAAATGCAAAATGTAAATACATATGGAAGATAACATTTTTCAAATAAAAATACAGTACAGTAGTCCCTCACCAACAGCAGGGGTTAGGTTCCTAAAAACCCCATGGTTAGCAAATCCGCAGTTGGCAAGACGAAAGACTTATGGGAAATGGGGGGTTAGGTTCCACGGCCATGGATAACACTCACCAAACACTATTAAGTTGCCTGTTCCTTTTTTTTTTTTTTGGTGAAAAGCCCACCCAAACACAGGTGTTGTTTTATTTAATGATATGTGAGAGGGAGAGAGGTTTACAGATCATTTGAAACATGTTGGAGCCATATAAGTGATCAGGGATAGGTTATAAGTTATAATACTGAATATTATTTGGTAGTAGGCAGCTACCAAACAGGTAGGAAGGGAGGAACAGTACTACCGCCTGGGAAGATATTGGAAGTATGGTGTGTTGTCTAATGGTAGACCCTGCTGCCATATGGCCTCACAAAAATTGTGACCAAGTCCCAGGTTGATGATCTGACTTTCTGCCTCATTTACACACAATTGCAGGGTCTCAATTTTTCTCTTATTATTAACACAACATACATATATTGTTTCTAACTCTAGATTTATTTTTTCGTTTTTGTATTTATTTATGGTAATTATTATAACAGTACAGGTATTATTATTATTGTTTAATTTTAATTATTTTAATCATATCCCCCCCACCCCAGGCTCTGATGTAGATGAGTGACCTGTGCCCAGGTGGGCTAATCCTCATTTTAAAAAAAAAAAATAAATAAATAAATTAAAAATTCCAGAAAGGAGTTTTTGAGGTTTTGCCTTCACTGTAATATCAGGAACATAATCCTGCAAAAAAAGCAAGGTTATATATATATGTGTGTGTGTGTGTGTGTGTGTGTGTGTGTGTGTGTGTGTGTGTGCGCACGTGTGCCCACACGGGCAGAGGTCACTGACCCACATCGGGGCCTGGGGGTGAAAATAACATAATAAATTAATAATAATAATAATACAGATGAATAAAAAAATAGATAAAAAATAAAATATAAATAAAGAACCATATTTTATAAAAATGAAAACAAAAAGATCAAGATTGAGAAATGATAAATGTTAGTTATGTTGTCAAAGTAAGATAAACAATTGAGCCCCTGTAAATGTGGCAGAATGTCAATCAGCAACCTGGGACTTGGTCACAATTAGAAAAAATGAATATGTAAAAAGATACCCAAGAATATGATTCACAACTTGGGAATTTGGCAAGACAATGGTTTAGAGGAAGGAAGGGAGGTGGATGAAGCAATGTGATACAGTATTGTACTGTATATCCTTTCCAAGACAAACTCCAAACCTATATATATTTAGCATTCCATCTTAATGGACTAATTATTATCGATTATAAGGATGTATCGTGTTTGCTGCCTTAATGTTTGTCTTGACTGCACTAACTGCTTTGCTTGTTGTAGTTACTGTAAAAGAAGAAAAGACAAACTATTTATTAAATATTTATGGTCCATGTACAATAATGAGGTTTTTATCACTCTTATGAAGAATTAATTTTTGTGGAGATTTGATCCCTACACTCGCAGCATACAGTTGATCATCACTCATATTGTACTGGCAAGACACAGGATCTAATCTGAGTGATTCAACCTTGCCCAAAGTCAAATACATTTTATTAATACAGGTACAGTATAAGCTAAAATTCTTATACTGTACAATACAGCACCAGAGACTGGGCCACAAGAATTTTAAAACACCAAGGAAACATAATACAGGTATCCCTCATTTAATGATGGAGATGTGTTCCTGATAAATCTAACGTTAAGCCAAATTATTACAGGTACACCACCGATTTTCCGGCACCCTTGGTACCAAAGCCTTGCCGGATTATGCGTTTTGGCGGACCAACCGAGGTCAGGAAATAATAATTCAACAATACACCTCTGACCCACTAATGATACACCTCCTGTGTCTCTAAAGCACCATGGACTGATAGAAACTTAAATTAAACAAATATTAAATGTAAATGAAATGTGAAAGAGCCATAATTTTGAGCAACATACTGTACACACTTTGTACTTAAATTTACTACACTAAAGGACTATAATTTTTATCTCCTATGCAAACTGTGATGTTTATACTCAAATTAATCAGTATCTTACAAGGATTCCAGTAATGCAAATTATATTCTGCTAAGTTTAGTTTGTGATATTTTATAAGATAAAAACTGTAAGCCTAAAACTAGCTTCACCTTGGCTGGAAGGGAAGTTAAGTGCCCTTTCGTAATTTTGTTTGGACTAAAGGAGGTGCAGGACCAGTTACCGGACCATTGGTGGTGTTCCTGCACTAACCTCGCAAATTGGTGTCTCAGAAAAACTAACTTTAACACTTATTCCACTGTATATAAATGGTGATGTGGGTTGAGAAGTAAAGACACTATAATATAAAAGTAAAAAACTGAAAAAATAAGAAAAATGAAGAGCATGGGTGTAAAGGGTGGGAGGTGGTGGGCTATAACTATCTGTAAGTCACTGACTCACCAGCCCAGCTGCTGCATTTACTGTGACTTGTAATGAAACTATAAAACTCGTGGAATAATCATTACAATACTGTACTGTAATGTGGCTTAGAAATAACGAAAATATAATATAAAATAAGAAAAATGATGAATATATGGGAAGTAGATGTGTGTTTGAGGCGGTGAGTTACTGGGCTATAACTACATGGCTGCAAACACTCCTGATGTGACGTGACGGCATACAAACAGTTAGCCACACGTCTGAGTCGGCTGGTTGATTGCCTGAACTGTGCCGTGTCACTTAGATGATGGCACAGTGTATGCGTGTGAGGATCTATTTTTTGCACATAAAAGATACACTACGGTACGTATTGTATCTTTTGACATGTCATACATATATCAATTTTTTTGTTTATCATAGCAATAAATATTGCAGCCCATCCCCAGTATGTGTGGTATTCAAACTTATGATTCTTGATGATTTTGCAAGAATTTTTATTTTTATTATTTCATTTTGGCGTCGGTTAATTAAATCTACCAGTTACTCGAATAATTGAGATTGTGTACAGTATAGTATATATGACAAGCAATAGTTAAAGGTATTTTCAGTACTAGAGGATTATTCATTTTATGGAGTTAATAAATGATGAGGCCATGAGTAATGGTTCTAGGACAGAGGCATGGACATAGTCCCCAACTCAACCCCTCTCCCTCTCACTGAAAGCTAATGGTCCTTGTCTATTTATTATTCAGTGGCCTATGTTATTATTTCCTGTAATCAATATACAGTTCTGTATTGTATAAAATTTGATAATGTTTCTTTGGTTAGTCTTGTGACAGAAATTACGTACAGTACATTACCACAATAGACTTGCCTCATAGAGATGAATTATATGCCTAGCGAATGGAAAACCAACAGATATCTTCCATATACTGTACCAGATACTTTTGTTATATTACATGACTGCTTACTTTAATGACAATTGATATGCAAGTCCATTAAACTGTTGACTACACTTGCAATACTGTACTATACTGTATCATAAGGGGACATTTCTGTGGCATATATATGTATTGTATTGTACTGTAATTGCAGTGATATACACCATGTTATTATTTTGGTACATGTTACTACTTCCCCTCGTTTCTTTATAGTCATTACTGCTCAGCCAATTAGTACTCTCTACAGCCAATTTTGAATCATTCCCTCTCCTGCAGGTGAGTGTTTGCTCCACTGTGGCTGATGTTTTCTCCTATTTTTGACCCATAAGTATTAGTATGGGTGTAAAATTGCATGTCATAAGACATTTGGAGACAGGTGAGCATTACATTGATATTGCTCACAGTTTGGGTTCGGCTCTGGTAACCATCACTTTGATAACAGCAACCAAGACAACTTGTCAAGGAACAATTACCCATTTCTTGCTAATACAAAACAATACCACATTACAGGAGTAATACAGTGGTCAACCTCATACAAAATCTGACTGAATGTACTAGTGAGTACATAACTTATTGTATTTTTTATATCCCATTATCATTTAAAAAACTCTTCAACTGTAAAATACAATACTGTACATTTCTTGTTATGCTCGATTAACGACCATTCACTTAGTGATTAAATTTTTTTTAGATGAAAAAATTTAACGACTCACTGGGAAAAATTGGAGAGGGAAGCCAAAAAAACTGGGGATTCTGTGCTGTGCTCCAAGTGCACATCATTATACAGGGTAATACTCTAATGTGGCTTGGAAATAAAGAAAATCTAATATAAAACAATGAAATTAGAAAAATGAAGAGCATGGGCGTGTATGTATAGGAAGTGAACATATTTATGTTTTGAGGCAGTGAGCTGTAACTGCAGCCAGCCACACACTCCCCTCCACCCTATGTGATGTCGCAGTATACAGGCAGCAGTAACACATGTCTCTTGAGTCAGCTTGGTGACTGCCTGGCTAAAGTGTATCATGTGTATACTGTACCAGTAAATGTGAGGATAAAATACTAATAATAAATAAAAGAAAAAAAAATAACATTGCTATTTTGCAATCTTTTTTCTTTACATGGGACACGATACTGCGAACAGCTGAGAGATCCCCCATGCCACTTCCCCTATGCTCCCCTTTCCTCCTTACTCCCATACATGTAAGAAATGTTTAGGGGTATTCCCTTTTATGTTTTTTACCTTATGATTTTTTTTGGCACATTCTGTATGAACAATTGTGTGCATGCAACAGAGTATAAGAAAAAAAAAAAATACTGTACATATATCTACCCAAAATTACAAGTTGAACAATAACAGCCCACAGCTCAGCCTCACCTGCTCTTGAGTGCTATTGGGAGGCGAGTCAGCGACTATTGCTACACAATTACATGCCATCTCCACAGACATTATTCCTTGTTTAGAAATCATTTCGCTTAACGATGGGGTTTTCAGGAACGCATCCCATCATTAAACGAGGGATACCTGTACATTTATAAAGTGTGCAGTACAGTATCATATTAGTATACAATATAGTACTGTACAGTATTACCAAGCCATCATATATCCCCTATAAATAGTGTTGTTGCTCTACTGGAACATGTTAAAAAAATGAGCTATAAAAAACAGCTTTATAAGAATGCATCCCGACTGCTGCAAGAGGTATGCCTAAATCTCGTGCTAAATATGGTTATCTGCAAAAGTGATAATTTCTTTACAGGTACACCTGAGGGTGTTTCTGATATAAATAATAAACTGGAGTAAGGAAAACTTTTCACATTCTCTAACAAGTGCCTGCCTCTTACAGTTGAATATGCAATGTTATGCTGTGCAGTACTGGCAGGATTAGTAGTGTACCCTGTCAGTAAAACCTTTATTAAGTTGGACTTTCTGCTGTTCTGGTTAGTCTTATAAAAAAATTAATCCAGTAAAGTGACAAAGCATTGCATAACCACTTACTCTGAGGAGGTGGTTGTTGTGGCATTGTTGGCGACGGTCCCGGTGGCTGAGTTCGTATTTTGAAGCCTTTGCCTGTACCCAAGGCTGCTATCAGAGCATGTGTTTCGTTGACAGAACACGTCTGAGGTTGGTTGGTTCGAGAGGCTGTCTCTGTCTCCCATTCTTCCCGAGCTGTATTTACCAAGTCCATGACATGTTTCACAACCTTATTGTGAACGTTGATTTGTTTCTGAGTCGGAGGAGATTATAAACTTATGTAAAAAAAATCAGAAAAATATTTTTAGCAAAATACATTGTATTCGAATACCTTTTTCATATTACTGATAGTGTTTTACGATCCACCGTACAACTTATTAACTAACCTCAAGCTACCTCCTATGCTGACAGATATGGTCTTCTATACTTTAGTATTCCTTTTCCATTTCAAGCCCTAAGTAATTATCTGGTTTAGCTCTGCCACTTTAAAGACCTTAGCATCACCCATCAGCAGTACTGTAAATTCACTTAATCCCATCCATCACCTTGAAAAGTTCTTCACTCTGTCTCTTCATCTTCCTGATCCTCCCCTTCTCTTCCTGCCTTACACCCCAGCATTATTCATTCTTTTTGCCAGTCATTTGCTTCCCTTCTCAAATAATGTCCACATCACCTTGAAAAATCATGATCAGTTCTGTCTGACACGCCTCTAATTTCCACATCTCTGTATTTTACTGGCCCCAAATAATTTGTCACTTCTAAAATGTTTTTCCTCTTGCATCCAGATTATGCTTCACACTCATATAATATCAGCTTAATGTTTCTCCTGTAAATCCCAAGTTTTATATCCATTCCTGTGGTCCTTTCTCTCCATAACATCTTACTGCACTTTTCCTCCACTTCTCTGTGAACCAATTCATCACCAACTGCCAATTCCATTCCCAGATATCAGAAGCACCCAGTCTGTCAATTCTAACTTCATTCAAGGTAAAATTCATTTTCCCCTCTTTTGTATAAGGAAGTGTATTGTACAGTACTTTTTTCACTCTCCATTTAAACACTCATTTACATTCTAATTCTCAGCAATTTTTGTTCTATCTCTACCATTTACTATAATACAGTTTCTATTTCTCTTATCCATAATTAGTATAGCATGCAATAACTAACCTTGCTCATGATTTTGAAAAATAAAATAAAATTTCATCTTACCAGGGCAGTGTCTGCATTGGCTTGTGCCATCTTGGCTTCCAAGGCTAAATGCCTCTGTTCTACATCTGGCTCTGGCTTTGTCCTCAGCATGTTAGGGACAAAGTCATGACTGAAGGATGGAACTCTGCCTTCAGTGGCCAAGAGCAATTTTTCATCAGATTCAGCATTCAACTGGAGCGGGAGTGTGAGGAAATTTCGCAGGATGGGCGTTTTATCATTCTTTAGCAGTTTCATGAGGGTGTATATCTGGCAAGTGTAAAAATAAATTTAGTTGGTTATTGACAACCATAGCCTATAAAATTTTAGTTAAATGAAATGTTTTATCTTATTATATACGAGTAATCACCACACACTACCAATAATTTTTTCCTTACACTCTTACCACAATACAGTACTAATACTCCATTGATTTCTATTATGGAACAAGGGGAAAACACTGACCTGTGCAGATATGACCGAGAAAGAGTTGAGGTATGATGGCCAATCAACTTGCTCACCCTCTCGCTCCATCTTGACCAGCAGTTCTTGTAACGAACCTTTGATGTCAACAACACGTTGCAGGATAACATCCAAGGCAACATCCAGAGCCCTTTCCTCCCTCTGCAGTATACAGAATTATACAACTACAATACAATACTGTATTTTCAAATGTCAATAAATGATCGTTGAAATCCAATTATATAGCTAAGTCAGGACAAAGAGACTTGAATACTGTATTGGGCCCATCATATTAACCTTTTACATGTCACTTGCCACTAATAACAATTGATAGTGGGACATCCTATCTCCATAACGGCTCATTTCCAACTGAAATGAAGGTCACAATTGATGAAACACAAAAAGCACTATAAAAGCACATTTCTGTTAGTTTCTGTGGTCGACGTGGCGGCCACGAATTACCCAAAAGTACCCAAAAGTATAGCAAATAAGGGTAAAATCTTAACGAATATCTGTTATACATACACAAAACATGTTTAATAATATTTTTAGTGTAATTTTGTAAAAATAATTTGTAAGATGAAATAATAAACAGCGAAAAACTTTCAGTATTGGCGAACGCTAAATTCCAAAGAGTTCGTGAACGAGGGAGATAACTCAGATCCATCGTGATGCACTTCGCTAACCTAACCTTACGAAAAGTAAATCCTACGGCTATGTTAAATACCCCAAAGTAACAGAAACATTAGTAATTATATCTCCATTTTGGATTGGTGACTCTCTGGAATTTAGCATTTTTCGCTGTTTATTATTTCATTATTTTGACTACATTTCAATGAAAACATTATTTGTCAGGTTTTATAGATGTAAAACATATATTCGTTAAGATTTTACCCTGATTTAATATACTTTTGGGTACTTTTGGGTAATTTGTTGGACCGGTCGACCTTTTCCAAATCTTTACCTCATTCAATTCTGTCATTGTGAGAGACGTGACAAGATTTGTCCATACCGTAATTCTCAGCCTATTATTATTTTTATATTTAAAGTTAGGGTAAGGCTATTCTACACCTTTACCAGGGTTGGTTGGGTTGGTACAGTATGTGGAAACGAAGATCGGCCAGTCATTGGCTGGAAACGGTCCGACTAATTACCCAAATATAGCCGCAATGAAGTCAAATAATGGTCCTACATGAATAAATCGGACTGCCAATCACTTCTCGACTAGTATTTGGTGTCACAAAGTCACAAAAAATTGGTAAACTTAATTTAATCTGAGTTAATAGATCGAGTGCATGTACCTAACCTAACCTAACCTCGACTAGTATTTGGTGTCATAAAGTAAAAAAAAATTGGTAAACTTAATTTAATCTGAGTTGTGTTGTGTTAGGTTAAATTATATTAGGTTAGGTACATGCACTTGATCTATTAACTCAAATTAAATTAAGTTTACCAATTTTTTGTGACTGTGACACCAAATACTAGTCGAGGTTAGGTTAGGTTAGGTTAGGTTAGGTACATGCACTCGATCTATTAACTCAGATTAAAGTAAGTTTTCCAATTTTTTGTGACTGACACCAAATACTAGTCGAGAAGTGATTGGCAGGCCGATTTATTCATCTAGGACCATTATTTGACTTCATTGCGGCTACAATGGGGTAATTAGTGGGACCCGCTGGAAAGCATTTAATGCCTGAAATTGGTTAGTATCTGCACAGAATTTTCAATAATCACCAAATTGTTCTATATTTTCCTCTACCTTTACCTAAATAATACGTTTTTATGAACTTGAAATTACTTGGGTTAGGGGAGCAATTGTTATTTATTCAAGGTTAAATCCTATAAGAAAATTATTATTATTATTATTTTAGTATCTCTAATAAAAAAAAACAATTCTTACCTGCATATTGATAGTAGAGTTTTAGATTAACCTAAGTATTTGTCAAATTATTTAGAGTTATAAGTTTACTGAGCCTGACTGTGTGGTGCCCGGCCAGTGTACTCGATAACCTTAATATACTGTTATTTTCCTTCATTAATTATTGACTATTTAATATTGTAATGTACTCAATATATCATAAATTACGTTATAGAACTGAAAACAATATAAAAATTAAACTAAGAGTGATAATAGTGATAGTATAGGTGAAGAATATAAAAGTCCACAGTAGGTGAGGTTGGCCAGGTGAGGATTGTCTGCTGCAATGTTTACTGAGAGGAAGAGGAGCCACCATGGACAGTGTTGGCAGTGATGAGGCTGTTATTGCCACTAATGATGACGCCAGCTCCTGTAAGAGGTGTGCCGTGGCTCTTGGTTACTGGAGAGACAGATACATCAGTTATTTTGTCAGGTCTACAGATCGTAAAGCTCCTGAGATCAACCGGGGTTACTTTGCTCGGTCTGTGGCTATCAAGATGCTTGTTGATAAATTTATAGAGGTAATGTTAGTTGGGTTTATTGTTATTTGTAATAAAGTAGGCAAGAATAGATTGCTTTATAGTATGTTATTTTGGTTAAAGCAAAAGGTATTATTGTATTTCTGCACCTGACATTCCTACCCCTAATCTATTATCATATTCGAATAAGATGACTAATTATAAGATAATTTTCTTCTATTACATTACTGTCGCAAATGTATAATAATGGAGATAGCGTATACAAAATTTTCTCTATTTTCTTCCATTAATCTTCCGCCATTATTGCCTACCTCACCCCCCACACTGCTTGTTTCCTTCATAAATCATCACACGCATGCGTTCCTGTACACATCATGCGTCCAATCAAAAGTGTTATTTTTTGCAACCAATTAAAATGATTTCTGGTTTAATTCGCGGTATTTTTGGCCCAATCAAATTTGATTTTTATTTTGGGTGGAGTCGCGGTCATGGCTAGAGGTGCTTGATTGGGGTCTCTAGAAAAAAAGGTTGGGAACCACTGATCTACAGTAATTGTAAAATACTTTTTTTTTTCAGGTCACAAATGGGAATTGTCAGATTGTAAATATTGGAGCTGGTTTTGATACCTTATATTGGAGACTAGTTGATGAAGGGAAGTCAGTCAAAGGCTTTGTGGAGCTGGATTTCCCTGGTGTCACGTCACGAAAGTGTCTCTACATTCAGCGAACAAAGCAACTTCTACAGGCCATCAGTGATGAAGGTACGTAAGACTTATCTTTCTATTATTTAGGGTAAACTTCCCCCTCTCTCCCGACTGTTGGATCTCCGGGCTATCAACGAAACTTGTAGGGTATTTCCCCTACTGTATATGTAATCGTCGGTTATGTGAATCAATGGTTATTGGGGCATCGGTTTTAGGGGTATACCTGTACTCAACAAAGTAGATGATTCTTATTCACCAAGTTGTTGCCCATACCCTGTAGGAAGATCCTAATGGTGATAAAAACAAACTATATACAGTGGTCCCTCGGTTAACGAACGCCTCGGTTAACAAAATTTCGGTTAACAAAATTCTTACAAATATGTTTCGACATGCTTTAGCTTGCTCACCAGCTGGAAGATTAGTCCGCGAATACAGAAATCGGTTCTAGGGCTTACATTCGTTAAAATTGGAGTAAATATCAAGAAGGGTGTACTATTCAATAATTTTCCAAGTTTTATATTCAAATTTTTTGTCATTTTAACACTTATTTAACCTAATTGCAGTACAGGGAACTAGTTTTTGGTGCGTCCATCAGCCACTTAACTCACCCACCAAGGCCTCAGTTTGTGTGTCTGTTCATTGGAGGAAACATCTTGCCTGTGGGTCTCTTGAACACAGAGTATTTTTACGTTTTTACAGTACAATAATTGGTCATTCTGAAATTTATTTAACATATTGACAATATATAGTGCAGTGCAGTGTAGATTTAAAGAAAATAATCTTGAATTACACCTTGTGAACTTAAAATTTTATGGGTGAAATGACGGCATTAAGCATGGGGCGATTTCTCTTCCACCCCCACTTCCTTTTCTTCTCCCTTCTCCTCCACCCCCACTTCTAATTCTCATCATCATCAACCAGGAGCCTTCTACATACATACCTCAAAGTAAGTGTACTTTACTGCATTTTTTTTTTACTTTGTACGTATGTAATTTTCGGTGAGCTGGAACCAATTACCTAAAATCCCATCGAAACAATGGTTTCGGTTAAAAAAAATTTCGGTTAACGAAAGATCTTTTGGAACGAATTGTGTTCGTTAACCGAGGGACCACTGTACTATGTATATGCATGAAATGATTCTCAGAATTATTTTCCAATGAATATTAAATGCCAATTAATGTGTTTCCTCAAGTATCAAGGAGAGTTGATGTAAGATGCTACAGTACTTCTGTTAGCATGGGTAGACAGAAAAGGCACATCAGAGTAACCACTTGTGTACGGGATCCCCTCTGTTGAATAAAATTGTTTGTCTTTAATCAAATAAAATATTTAAAAGGGTGTCCCCATAGTGAAAGGGTTACTTGTTAGATGTTTTCACAACTGCTTTGCATGTAAATTTCTTTAGATATGGTCAAGTGGAAACGCTTTCAGTCATGCTGCTGAATATGTAGATCATGAAATAAATATATCTTTTCACTTTGGGACTGCATACACACACAAATGAAATTGACACAAAATATAATATGTTGCAGGAGCAGATGTTTTAATTTGACTGGCTGGGAACACAGCCTGTGCTCAATGACTGGGTGAAAGCATGCCTGAGAAAATATCACACAACACACTCACTCTTCAGACGCCGACAATAAATTATAAGATAACGAGAGGCCCTTAAAAATAAGTACAGTAATGGTATAAGAGGAGTAATAACTATCAGAAATGTTACTCAAATAAAATGACGGATCAGAAAAGTTACTTTTAAATAAGTAATTTATTAAAAAATGTTGTTTAAACTTGGTAACGAATTATCTCTCCTGTACTTGGTTACCATCCACCTCTGGAGATCATACTACAGTATAAATAACTCAGCTTCCAAGCTGGGCACAGTCTGTGTAACCTCCCTTTCTCCATCATGCTTTAACAAATCTTCAGTAATGTGTGAAGTCATTTAATCATAAATCAGGGACTGAATCCTGAAATCTCATTTTATAATTTAGGCGCTCAGTGGAAGAAGGGCAATTACAGTAATTTTTTTTAATTAAGTCTAACTAGTACTGTGCTGTGTACAGGTAAACCTCTATTTGCAATAGGTTAGGTTCCTGGAAACCTAAATGCAAAACAGAGAGAAAAATCCTTGATTACTACTATCACTACAACACAATTAAACAATGCTCACTACATTATTAAGAACAAGTTGAGTTGTCACCACATGTCTCCTTCAAGGCTAAGGAGACTCTTATTGTGGAGTGGAGACATCAACCTGAGTCCCACACAGACTTTGGGGAATCTGAAGACTGGGGACTGGAGTTGTAGCCTTCATCTTGGCCTTAAAGAAGGTGAGCAATACGCTTGCCAGACATTTTCAAAGTTACAATGCTCGCTTCAGTCACAAAAAAAAACAATAATAATGATGGAGACTTAATTCTTTTATGAAAAAAAAATATTGCATTGAAGGTGTGGTAAGAGATTTTTATTATTTAATTTTTATTTGGATTACCTTTTTATATTTTTAAGGGGATTAGCCCACCTAGGCACATGTCACTGACCCACATCAGGGTCTGGGGGACGAAAATACAACAACAATAACAACAATAACAATAATAATAATAATAACAACAATAATAATATTATCAACAACAACAACAATAACAACAATAACAACAATAATAATAACAACAATAATAACAATAACAACAATAAATAATAATAATAATAAATACAAAAATGAAAAATACTTCAAGAGTGAGAAATGATATACAATACAGAATGTTTGTTGTGTTGTCAATAGTAAGAGAATCAATTGAGACCCTGTAATTGTGTGTAAATGAGGCAGAAAGTCAGATCATCAACCTGGGACTTGATCACAATTTTTGTGATGCCATACTGTAACGGGACGAGTTCTTCTCATTTTATATCCCACCTAATCTGCCCTCATTTGTAGTGGCGCAAATTCTTTCACTTTAATATTCCATCTAAGCTGCCACTACTTGTACTGGGCCGAGTTCTTTACTGCATATTTTATCATCCAGATATTCTTCTCTGTTAATATTCTTCAATACTTTATACAGTATATATGTATGTGTATTCTTGCTTACATTCTTATAGTATTCTTTTCTTAGTTATATATGTTCTTTATATTAAACTTTCATGGTGTATTTATTTAATAATTTTTAGGCTGTGTCTTTAGTTCCACAATTTACATACATGTCTCATCTGTCTTTTCTTATACTTTCCAAGTCTTTCATTTCTTTTCATATCCTGTATACTATATTTTCCAAATTTATATGTCCTTACCTTTCTGAAGTATTTACTCTGTTTTACTTTTATTCTCATACATGGGTTAGTCTGGGGAACCATGTTATTCTTAGTACAACACTTATTATACTTACAAAGGGTAAGCTGCCACCACCCAGACTTTTGGGGTTAGAATATAACATATCTCATGGAAAGCTTATGGGTAGTGTGGTAGATGTATAGTCACGTGAGTAAGTATTATTTTCTGGGAACCAATGTTTAGAAGGAGTAGAGAGGTGATACTTGTAGATTACTTATTCAATATTTATTAACACAGTGAGTGAATAAGATGTTACTTAAATTCACCCAGACAAAACTGGACCCTTCAGGTCTTACTGTACCATTGACAAAACAGAACCACAATTACTTATTTATTCATCAAACACTTCAGGTACTTATTAACTCATTAGACAACTGTTGTATTATTCCTCTGACAAATGAGATTCAGTAATTATTATACACGATAAGATAACACTGGACCCTCAGGTCTTACTTTATAAGTAACAATTTACATCTTCAATTCTAGGTTACAACATTTAACGATCATTATATTATTCCATTGTTACTGCAAATGGATAATATGACACACTTGACACTATCCCGAATTAAAATAGTCTTTATAACATGTTATTCCGGAATGACTAACGTGACACTTAAACGAGTATACATTGGTTTGGTGGACTCAACTCCGAGAATAACAATAACCCGGGCACCACCAACATTCATGGATTCAATACTTAACCTGGGATGACCATATTTCTGCTAGTCATCCCCAAGCATGGATATTAATACGGCTCCATACATATAGCCAAGAACAGTAGATGGGCCACGATCACACGACGGAGTCAGTGGGCCAAAGTTGTTTACAGGCTCGCTCGCTAGCTCGGAGTGCCTGGCCCGGGAAGGGTTGACTCGTGGCGGTGGGCCGTGGCGTCTGCCAAGGAATCTCGCCCTGGGATTCTAATTCGCCATCTTAAAGACATCCTTCGAGAGCCATCTCGCCCATAGGCGGCTCCCGAACCTCAGTCGTGTTGCCAACACACGCAATCAGCGTCTGGAGACGTGGAGGAGAAGTCACAGAGGGAGTGAATATTTAATTTCACTATACAGAACATACGTCTGGCAATGGTCCAGACGATATCTAAATCTCTACGTTACTCGACTTAATTGGCACAGAAGTTACTATGTTAAAACATGAACACTGATATTCACAAAAATCGACTAAAGTTAAACTGAATTAACACGGCGGCGAAAAACAATCATCTACATACCTGGAAACGTGGAGGAGAAATCACAGAGGGAGTGATTTTTCCCCGCGCGTTGGCATATATACGAGCCTGAGGGCATATCCCTACTAGAAAGACTAATTTTACTAACAATAGACCTTCTATTCAAAGTAGTCGTTGGACACCTAGCTGTGACCGTCAGTGTCACAGATCAGGCTAATTTTCTACATCTATATTTATGATCTAATCAGAGATTGAGTTTGTCAGGAAAGAGGTGAAATGGAGTTATATATGTACTAACAACTCTCCTGGCCTGACCGCAAACCACAGCCCAGGCCGAAACAGCGTTTAAGTCTTGGATATTTTGAGTTTGACAGGAAACTTTCAGGAGATTAATGACTTTCTTAAATAGACAACTGGCACTAACTAAACTATAAACATCAGATTCCCTGAGATTTGGGCGACAAAATAATATAACTTCAGTAGCGATCGGAATTTCAGGATACTCCCACGAACGACATAAAATATGCCACTCTAGCTGGCAAACTCGACACTCACTTACTTGATAAGTTTTACTAACAATAAGGACAGTTGAAGCTTTCAACACCACTCACAATGGATCTTGAATGTTCCAACTGTAAACAGACATATCTAGGTTGCCTCACCAATTGCAACCACAGTTGCAATTTCAAATTCTGTCATTACTAAGGAATAACGAAGTCCCAGGTGCATTCAAGATTGAGAGAAAACGGCAGACTCAGACGTCCTGAAGCGCTGAGAAAACGGACTCTTCAGATGGGGAACTTCACTAAGAAAGCATAGCTACATGTTTTGTGGGCTATTGAGCGTAATATGAATCGGCTAATTTTACGTTAACTGACGTGTATGACCGTGGTCATTACAATATGGCAGCAGGGTCTACCATTAGACAACACATTATGCTTCTAATATCTTCCCAGACGGTAGTACCTCCCTGTTTGGTAGCTGCCTACTACCGACCTGGCCTGATCAGTGTCAGGTGTAGGTGGGATGGGGTGGTCTCATGCAATGTCAGGTCATCTAGTGTCGGTGTGGGATTAGTGGGTCTCGACCTGAAGATGTTTTAAACAAAAACTAAGAGGCAAATATATTTATGGCTAGCAAAAAAGTTTATAAACTTTTATTCACAACATCTGTTCTATTTGTGTTAGAGAAATGAATTTGGTACCATTGCATATAGGGAGATGCAGGACTCTTGCTTGGATGTGCAGGGCCAGATTAAATTTTTTGGGGGCCCCCAGGGCTAATGGAAAATTCAGCTTAAGGATAGCCTCCAGGAACATAACCCATCCATAGTCCTTGTTTTCTGATTGTGGTAATGAATTGAGATTAGTACATTGTACAGCTTGAGTTTAACTCGTGACTCAGGTGACTGCCTCCTTAAATAGATACATTAATTTTATGAGTATTGTACCACTTTCTTTTGAGAATGAGATATAGTATTGACTTATGGTTTGATGAGTAAATAATTCATTAGTGCCTCAGTGTTGTATCTAAACATGACAAGGCAAGCTCTTGCCAAGAAAACTTGGCACATCTTTAGAATAACAACTTATTCATTCCATCCTCAATAGTAAAATGGAATTTCAGGAATTAGTCTCCTATTTTTTTAATTCTTGAGGAATTAATGTGTTTTTTCTGTAATTTCAGATTATGATGTCAAACTCAATAGGAATAATCTTCATGCCCATACCTACAAACTAACTGGTGTTGATCTTAGAAATATCACTGATGTTGAGGCAAAAGTCAAGGAGTCTGACCTAGAATATTCTTTACCAACTTTGTTCTTGGCTGAGTGTGTCCTTGTGTACATGACCATACAGAAGTCCTCGCAGCTCATGAAGTGGATTGCTGAAAAATTTAAATCTGCATTTTTTATTAATTATGAAATGGTGAGTGTTTTTAAGGTATTTGACTGTTGATAAGTTGAACAGTTATGTGATATTTTATATGGAGGTGAAAGTTGGTCCCACAGTCCTGTTATCCCATTTTGGTCATTGTAGATAATGATACATTGCACTTTATACAAAGCTTTCTGTACTCAAAGAGGCAGTGTTGCTGCCACTGCATTTGAATGTCTTCACTTCCCTGACTTTTAAATTTAAGCAACAATTCACAGCTAGGTGAACTGGCAGTGCCCTATGTGTGAACTATCAAATTTTAGGACATCAGTTGAGTGCTGTGTTCATGATCTGGTAAAAGAGATAGCTTTCATGGTGCTTCTATAATATTTAAATTCATTATCTATCATGTACCTTGTGGCAACTCCAATTGTGATGAAAAATGAAGAATTGATCCTGTAATCCTGTGAGATTCTTAGGAATTTTCCATTTGTACCATTCGTCTTTACTCCAGAATTCTAGTGAAATCATAGAACTAGAGATCAGCTTAACTACAGCTCCAGTTAATATGAGATAGCTAGGAAAAGATAGTTGCTAAAGCTGAGAAATGAGTCTGTCCTGCCATGCCATTACTCATGCACCCTGTGATCCTTCACTGAATGCACTAGGATCTTAAGTTTAGTTACTAATTGGTACAGGTTTAGTGTTGGTGTTAGCTTTCGCTATTTATTTTAGCTGTTTAGCGGTTTAGCGTTAGCGAAACGTTTTAGTTAGCAGATTAGCGGTTAGCGAAGCTAAATTTCGTTTAGCTGTGCCCACCAGTGGTTGTAACTCGACTAATGAGTCTATCTGCTGATGAAAGCCTTTATAGAATGACTGATAGTAGAACAGTTTAACATTACTGATGAATTCATGGTCAAGTGGCTGCAGAAGTGATGTGGTGTTAGGAGGAAGGAAGATAACTTGTACATTAAGGTGGCATCCAATTTGAAACTTAGTGTCCAGGAGCATTATCCATCACCAGGATCACTTTGAAGTCAATGTTCTTCCTCCAGCAGTACTGTTGGGCGTCAGGAACAAAGTGCTTGTCCAACCCATCGGTGCATAAAGACGTTGTAACCCAAGCTTTCTTATTAGACGTCCAAAAAACATTAAGCAGCATGGTTAATAACCAGGGGTTTCATCAAGAAATCTCCACTTGCATTAGCTGTGAATAAAACTTTTATCCTGTCCTTTGAAGTCCTTACACCCCTTGCCTATTTTTCATCCTTTGCAATGAAAGTGGTCTTAGGTGAGTGCTTCCAGAAAATATCAGTTTCGTTACAATTGAAGATCTGGTCTTGGCAATAACCACCCTCTTTCACAAGAGCTTCAAAGACAGGTAGATATTTTTCTGCTGCTACGACATTAGCTGATACACATAACGGAAACAACGTTAACGGAAACGACGTTGACGGAAACAAGGTTAACGGAAACGACGTTAACGGAAACAAGGTTAATGGAAACAAGGTTAACGGAAACAGTTTTCCCCATAAGAAAGATAAAATACATGAGTTACGTTCCCCAGCCTCCCTTGGCCCATAAAATACATTACATATACAGAAATTCCGTGGCATTTTTATAGAAAATAGTACAGTAGGGTCGGGATATATCGCGAGATAGGGTCTAAGGATGTTCGTTATATACTAAATTGCAATATGTAATTACATGTAATCAATGGGGAATTTAGGGTTAGGTTCTGGAGGCCAATAAAAGTGACTAAGCTTGACATAAAATGGTACAGTCTAAAGTTTGCAGAATACAAACTGCATTGCTGGAATCTTTGCAAGACAACAAATAATTTGAATATAGACATCATATATTTTGCACAAGAGATATAATTTATAGTCTTTTTGAGTATAGTTTTCAACTTGTATGTTTTGGGGCGATTTAGGGGATTTTTTTGAGTGTTTCTGACTTTATACGATTTTTGGCTTTATGTGAGGTCCCGGGAACATAACCCCACGTAAGTTGTGAGTCTACTGTAAATAAATTTATCGCTATACAGTATATTGGAAACTATCGATAATTTTGGTGTTCGTGATAAATTTGAAATATTTCCTGCCCGATTTCCCTTGAAATAAAAAAATTATCACTATGTACAGTATAGGAAAATGTTGTTAATTTGGAAGCCGCGATATAAAAAAATCTTTATGTAAAGTCACCGTGTATCCCGACCTTACTGTATATACAGTTAGTCCCCGACTTACGATGGGGTTAGGGACCCAAATCCAGGTCGTAAGTCGAATTGGTTGTAAGTCGAAAATGCAAAAATAATACATAGAAAATCTAAAATGGGTGTCTCTTTTTCTTCTCGGCATCACAAAACTCTCACTTTTATGCTTGCCAGCCATTTTAAAGGGTATTACAAACCAAAATTTTGTCAGTACACAGTGCAATCACTAACGTCGGACTCAAAAATACGTAATTTGACAAAATTTTGGTACGACGGGCGGTCGTATGTCGAGTAGGTCGTAAGTCGAGGACTACCTGTATATATATAAATAAACTTTATCATTTTGTATTGTACTCACTGATGGTGGAGTGAGTGTGTGTGTGTGTGTTGGTCCAGATAGTACACACTATTGTGGGGGTTAATGTCCACCGCACGTTCACCTTTCTCAAAACTGTTTAAAACTTCCATTTTCGTAGGAAGGCTAATGGTCTTGCATCGCTTCTTCACAACACTAGCTTCAGTAGCACTTGATGGGTGCTTGGAACCATTTCTAATGGTTAGAGTACAGTATTAAGAGCAAAAACACTTAAACACACAATAACGCTGTGGAAGCCTAACAAAGACCGGCGACGCTCGGAGAGCTGTGTGACTCTCCGCGAGTGAGAGCTTAGCGTGCCGAGATGAGAGAGGGTGATGTGCCGCACAAAGTAGTCCGTGACGACGTTATACTGAATCGGCGGGATGTTATCCGAATCGTGGGTATCTAAAGAATAGCGACCTTATAATGAAACGACGTTATTGGGAGCAACGTTAAATGAGGACTTAATGTACTCCTTAAATTTACATTTACACATTCAGTTAATCAGGATATAACTAAACTGTACATTGCAGAAGATTTCTCACCTAATATGAAGTGAGTGTATAATTCTGCTGTGCATTGTAAATGAACACTTTATGAATATAATTTTTATATTTTGTATTTATTTGTCTATTTTTTCAGGTTAACTTGGGCGACAGATTTGGGGAAGTGATGCTGAGCAACTTGCGATCACGAGGTTGTGATCTAGCTGGTGCCGAGGCCTGTCAGAGCACCGAGACACAGAGAAAGAGGTGAATATTTTTTATATCATCAATGCAGTACAGTACTGTAGTATTACTCCAATATCTCCTGCATGATACTATTTAATTTCCTTTATGGCATAACGAGTCTTTTGAATTACTCCTGAGGGAGTACCAGTGAGCAGAGCCTGCTGGTGGTGTACTTAAGTACCTAAGGAGCGTCGGTGAGTTATTTTGCCAGTGAAGGGTCATAAACTTCTCACCTCATCTAGTGTGTCAAGGACTCGGTGCAAGGTTTGAGGAATCCTGGAGTGCTATGTTTTCTCAAAACAATACTGTATAGACGCCTTTCCAAGCACCTTAAAAATCGACGCCAGTTAGGTGGGGATATACAGTAATATCTCCGTTAGCTGGAATCCCACGAACTCGGAACTCTTCGATAGCCGGAATTGAAATTTTCTTTGAAAATCGCCGTTAAAGCCGGAATTTTCCGGAAAATTACGGCATTGGGAAAGATTTTCCGAGGGGCACATTTTCCGGAAAATCCAGAGAAAATTTTCCCGAAACCAGGAAAATTTTCGGAAAATTCCGGGGATGGGGGAGTTTTTCCAAGTTTGAGAGATGAAAATCGGGCACATTTTCTGGAAATTCCGAGAAAAAATTTCCGCTACCCGGAGTTTTCCGGAAAATTCCGGGGATGAGGGATATTTTTATGGGTTCGAGAGAGTCTTCTTGTTACCTGGAAATCCCTCATTCCCGGAAGTGTCCTGCACCAATTGTTCCGGCTAACGGGGATATCACTGTACTAATGATTTATAATAATAATAACTTTGAAGCTCATTTTCTCTTAACTTGATATGTCAAGGTTGTCCCTACTAATTTCAGTACATTATCTCTTATTTATTGCATACAAATTTTGTTTAAACCTGTCATGAATACAAAACCATAATCTGGGTCCCATGGCAGCGACACACACCTCCGTTCATATAACCTCATAAAAAATACTCAATACACTGTACAGTATATTAAAATCAGTGTTGTATGCATCAACGAAAAAAGTGGCGCTGCCAGCATCAGCGTAAACGGCCGAGAAATTTGATGCCGTCAGCGTCGGCGTAAACGATTTCAAATATTGACGCCGTTATCATCAGTGTCAACACCTAGCATCAACGAGTTTTCAGTGACGTACAAATGCAGCCCCGAAACGCATATTCTCCTGTGTATGGGTAATTGGTTCCAGCTCACCGAAAATTGCCTAAAGTCAACAAAAAAGGTAGTAAAGTACACTTACTTTGAAGTGTGTATGTAGAAGGCTCCTGGATGATGATGATGATGATGTGAATTTGAAGTGGCAGGTGGAGGAGGAGAAGGGAGAAGAGAAGGAAGTGGGGGTGGAGGAGAAGCATTTTACTGCTTCTTGGAAGGAGAGTCACCTTCCATGAAAATGTCAGGAACCTCTGGACTGACAGATTCTCCACCAGGAACATCCTCTCTCCTTCTTGAAGTGGAAGGCTAAGGGCTAGCATCTTGTTCCCGCTGCCTTTTAGTGAAGAAACTGTCAATTTTTGTCTGGGGCATCTCTCCTCCTCATCATTAACTGCTGTTCGAAGAAGGAGACCACTGTGTCCTCAACATGACACAAAGCTAGTTCTGATTTTTCCACATCTGGGTGCCTTGAAGCCAGTTTCCTGAACATAATTCAGGGTCCCCCCACCCCCCTTTTCATTAGAAAATTTTAATACTTTATGGTTAATGCAGTATTGTACTCAGGCATTTTTGAATAGTAAAAAGTAACTACTATTGACCTCAGAATATCTCCTAATATCAAGTGCACATCGCTTTAAAATGGCCTCAAAATGCCCATGATATTGGTTAGAGCCCCAAAACTCCCAGCTGGGTGGGCTCGTTGTGCTCACCCTGTTCCCCCACCCACAACTTCTTGGACCCCTCTTTTGATATTCCTGGATCGGCCCCTGTAATATGAATAAGTGAAGGCATTAACGTACTGGATGTGCAACTGCTGTGACCGTTACAACTGGTAAGGTTAGTATGCCATGAACATATACTCTACAGTCCCAGTTAGCTATTGTTTACTATAAATCACCCAAGGAAATATATGAATTTTAATCCCTCAAAAATACTACATGTATATACAGTACTGTAGTTAGACCCCCCATACTTTTTGCATGAAAATTTGATCGTAAAAAGTTTCTTTATACCCGAGTTTGTATGGTATGTATCCTTGCATTTATTTGTATATCTACGTTATTGTGTGCAAATATCATTTAAAAACTAATTTTATGAAAAGCCACAATCTGAGCTCCATACACCATCAAACGATGCTTAAATGACGACGTAACAGCAACACGCACATTGGTATATAAATTCATACCACATAATAAAACACTCAATATGATACTGATATTTGATTCAGTGTTTTCAAACACCTGTGTTAATAAATAATTCAAACATGTGAGCTTCTACAACATAAATGCTCCACCCCAGATTTCTGGATGCTGGATGGGCCGGAGCAGATTCATATGACATGATTGGCATATGGGCTCGATTGCCACCAGAAGAAATAGCAAGAGTAACTCAAATTGAGCTTTTGGATGAACAAGAGCTTCTTCACCAGCTTTTCAGCCACTATGCCATCACCACTGCCTGGACAGATCATCGATGGTCTGATGTCCAACTGTAGCTCTTAATTTAGCACTGTACTCTGCATTCATCTCTGCCTTATCAAAGTCTCCTTTGTGTCGGTGGGTGATGGACTCGGGCAGCCAATGCATTAATGTCACCAAGAACATTAAAGAATGGTCATTAAGATATTGTGTATTCATACAGTTGCAGTTTGGTAATAGTATTTTGCTAAACTGTCAAGAGATGAAGCTATCTTGAGCACTGTAATTTTCAAAATTTAGTTGTGTTAAAGTATTAAATAGACTTTGTATTATTATTTGTTCTATTGTACTGGGGCTTTGTAAGCCACTGCTTCTTCATTTAATTTAGGCCATTTAAGAGTTTACACTGATGCTTTAAATGTAATACTATTTAGAGTTGATTTGACCACTAGTAGTGTGATCATGAACCACAGCTGAGACGAGACATACAGACAGCACTTGTGAGGTTCACAAGTTTCTAATTTTCACAGGTAAAACTAAATTTACTCAAATTACTGTAGGTACATAGATACAACAAGTGGCTAATTTTACATAAAGCCAAAATATATCATTCTGACACTGGAGCTTTGACACATGGCTGAGGCAGAAAATATGGTTTTGTGTGTTCTACAATATATCTCCTTTGTGACCTCTTTATTAGCATGTCTAAGTTAGTATGTAATAAAATCATTATTTTTATTAAATTTAAATTCCACAAGTATGTTCTTTACCACCTAAAGAATCCTTAAATTGTCTTGCCTTTAATATTTAAGGAAGTTTAAAATTAAAATTTCATGAAATTTTAATGTCATTATTTTCTAGATAAATTTACCAATTATATGCAATAGAATTGGAAAATATAAATACATTTAACACAAGGAGAACTACTGTAGTACTATAATTATATAGAGAAAGTAGAAGTCACTAACTGAAACCTATTTACTTATTGATGTAGTACAGTATTTAGTTTTATTGCATAAGTAATGGATCAATAAATATTATATAATGTACAGGTAAATGTTTTGAGAACAAGTTATTGTAATCTTTCTCTGTTTAACAATTTGCCATGGCTTTTTTTTTTATTAGATATGATAAAATTTTCTCAGCTCTGGTAAGTGTTGCAGAAAGTAATGTTTATTCACTCAAGGAAAATTGGTTAAATTGTAGATTTATTTTTCTGAAGTCTCATTTACTCATTACAGCATTTATGGAATAAGTTATTAATGTGGACTGTAGCTTCTTGTCCTGTGTAATTTGCTAGTATATTTATTAGGTAACCTTTATGTAGTACAGGTATTATCATTATTACTTCTTACATTAATGTCACTAAACCTAATACTTTTTTTATTTCTGTATATTGTATTATAATATCTTTACATTAAAGTAATTAATATATTTAGTTTCAGTGCTGTACAGTCGTGTTGGTATGACCATACAAACTACCTGCAGTTTATTTGGACGTTGGCTCCTTATAAGTGTAGTCACAATAATTTGGTTCTGGTTTATATATATAAACAGTAGAATCCCAGTTACCTGGTATCTGGGCAACCAGTAGATTCAACTAAGTAGCACCAAAATGTAATAATAATGATGATAATAATAATAATACAGTAATAATAAAAATTCCTCCCAAATCAGTTAGTATTGTTAGTTTGAATACCATGTGCAACGGGGATGAGCTGCCTTATTTATTGCTATGATAAACAATAAAGTCAATACATAGCATTGCATAAAATACAATAGCACATATTTTATGTGCTAAAACAGCTTCTTCCACACTCAAACCTCTGAATTATGCAACCCACTTCAGCCATGCAGTCAACCAGTTGACTCAAAGGCGTGTGGCTGCTCTGTGGCGCTCTGTGTATGCCATGATGTCACATCGGGAGGGAGCGTGGCCACACAGTTATAGCTCATTGCCTCCACACACATCCACACCCATGCTCTTCATTTTTCATATTTTATAGTTTAATATTTTCTTTATTTCTAAGTCACATTAGAGTGTTGCTATGAGTTCTTAATAGCTTCTATAGTTTTATTACATGTAACAATAAACACGGCAGCTGGAGTGGCGAGTCGACAACGTAGGCCACCACACACACACACACACACACACACACACACACACACACACACACACTTTTCACTTTTCTTATGTATTAGTTTTATATGTTCTTACTTTATAAGCCACATTAGAATACAGTATTGTAATGATTTTTCCACAACTTTTATGGTTTCATTACAAGTACAGGTACTGTATTGTAGTAACAATATATGAAGCTGGCGAGTCAGCCACGTAGTTATAGCCAAGGCCTGGTTATAACTGTATTCATTCATGTTCACTTCTCACATATACACATTCATGTTCTTCATTTTTATTATTCTATATTATATTTTTTTATTTCTAAGCCATATTAGAGTACTGTACTGTACTGTTATGTTTTTCCTCAACAAATTTAGTTTCATTACGTGTAACTATAAATGTGTTTGCTGGGTTGGCGAGTCAGCGTAGTTCACTTCCCACACATATAATACACCCATGCTCTTCATTTTTATTTTATAGTTTTTTATTATATTTTCTGTAATTCTAAGCCACGTCTTTTATATAGAGTGGAATAAGTGTTAAAGAAGTCCATTTTTCTGAGACACGAATTTGCTAGGTCAACCTGTAGCATTGTGTTTTGTAGGATTTATTAGGGGATCCGAAGAGTGACTTTCAACTTACCGGAAAAACTGTTTATCTGGCACCTCTCAATCCCCGGAGGTGATGGATAACTGGGATTCTACTGTACAGTACAGTGTATGGGTGATTATTTTGGTTGCCACAATTTTTTGTGGGAATATGTACAATGTGTGTTTTATATGTTAAGGCTGTGTAAAACTATATTGTTACTGAAAAAGAAAAAGTGATGTAAAAAACCCATGATTTAAAATCCTATGTAGCTTCTGTGATAAAATGTTTACTAGCTTGTGTGGTAGCAGGAACGTTATTTTATTTTTCCTGTGGGGGGGGGTGCAAAGTTAGCATGTGGAAGCCATCCATGTATTTGTAAATTAATAATGGGTCATTTGGAGGCCCCTCCTGGAAAGCTTGGGGGTAGGCAGGTTTTCTCACATTATGTTGATGCTTGGAGTTTAAATAACTGCATCACTACTGTCATAAATACTGTTTGGGATTAAAGGTGAAAAGATCTATGGTAGAATTTCAAACTAAAAGGACAAATATAAATGAAGGTTTGCGAGTGGCAGCAAAGATTGATATGAAAGATTTTGCAGTTCAATTATGAAGAGGAGACTATTTTTCCAAAACATTTCTGAAGAGGTTTATTGGTCTTAAGTTACATAGCTTAGCACAACCATTTCTGATTTGTACTGTAAATCTCATTTATATACATCTCATAGCTTACTAAGTAAATGGATACATTTTTTACTCTCTCTCTCTCTTGCAATTCATGTCATGTGCTGTATGTTCTCTGTGTCAGTTTTTGGAAGAATTGATTTCATATTCCTGTATAGTCAAGAAGCTGTTCACCTGAACATGATGATTTGTTGTGATTCAATATGGTCTGCTATTATCTGTCATGAAGGTACAGTACAGTGTAAGCCATCCAAAGTATGCAATGTGATGTTTAAGCAAGTTAGGAAAATGAAAATAACATATATAAGAGAAAAAGAAAAGAAGAAGTCCAAAAATCCGGACTGCTTGGGGATTGGGTTGGTCCGGATTTTCGGATTTTCCGGATTCTCTGGCAGTACTTTTAAAATTCAAATTTAAGGAGGAATAAAGAAGAGATGAATAGGTACATTTTGATAGTTTATTCATTAGCAAATATAGCATGCTTCATTTATCAAAACGAGCAGTTTTAAAGAAAAAGCTGTGAATTCTAGAAGTTTACTCTTTGCCTTTTTTATACCATAAATTGTAGACTTTCCAATGTCGTATGTTTCCATTAGAACAGTATTGCTCACACCACGTTCCAGTTTCTTAATTATTTCAAGTTTGTCACTCATTTTCAACGTGTTCTTCTTTCTCTTCACACAACGAAGTTTATCTACTTTAGGAGCCATTATTATGGGCTTGTACAGTACTCTGTAAATGGAAAGAGTAGGACTCAAAATTACATACGTCGTCACAGTTTGATTGCTCGTTTTAAAGTGGCGACCGCGTGGTCGCTTGTCATCGCTGTGCAATTGTGGAGCTCACGCATGCACACATACACACAAAAGCCAGCTAATTAAAAACAAAAAAATTGAGTTTTCGAAAAGTCCGGATTCTCGGGTGGTCCGGATTTCTGGCATCCGGATTTTTGGACTTTTACTGAATAAGGAATATAATGTAGAAACTAATAACTAGGAGGCCAAAGGCTTTCTTGTTTATTGATGGACTTATCACTGTGACAAAGCATAGTAAATCAACAATGACTATCATAAGGTTCATTGAAATAGGTTAGATCTGTAACAATTTTACAGAAGTATAAATTATAGACTTAATTCTTGAAATGTGTTTCAATGTAAGTAAACCCTTGATAACTCAGATTTTTATGTAATTCGGCACGGCTATACTCTCGGAATTTATTAAAAATAACTCGGGAATGCCGAGTTATAAAAAATTATCTTGGAAAATCTCTGCATATTTAGCCATGTGGGGTTACGGTGACTACCGTTTGCTGCCCCCTACTTAGTCTGTCTGGTGTTTGTTATTGTTGTGTTCAGGTGCATGCTGGCTGTCTCTCCACACTTGTCCTCTGATTGTCCTCACCCTCTTCAAACATCACAGTTATGGCATGTTTCAGTCGGCCGCCTACTCTGATCAAACCGTGCGCGTTTAGATGAGGTTCCAGTTGACTCACGTCGCTACCTCCCATGGGTTGTCCCTGTTGTAACATTCCGAGTTCTTGAGGGAATCCTTTCGTTTACATAAATCTTAAGACGACTAACTTCACGCCTTCCAATTCGCTGACCGTGAGTCGATGTTTTCGGTGATGTTTGTTCTTTCGCTTTCCCAGCCGCCATTCTATAAACTTTCTAATCCACACTATGCTATTCAGAAGTCGATGCCACGAGGAGTACCTGGCCCATAGCTTATCCAGGATACCCTCTCCCTGGTCAGCGTTCGTCGCCAGCACCGTGGTTTCCCTTTTCACCTCTGGGTCTCCGTCTGTGAGGTCTGGAATCCTCATTGGACTTTTTGGCCAACTGTCTTCTTCCAACAAGAGGAAAGCAGGTCTCTGAATCCACCTGCCCTCCTCGGTGAGGAGGGCATTACAGACCCACTTCGTAAGTCTGAATCCGCCCTTCTTCATCAGCTGTCTCGGTCAATTGGTAATTATCGTTGCCTTCCCCGGCGAATCTACTGAGAGAAGCAGATCGTCAACGTAGAAGTTAAGATTCGCTTTCTTGATGTCGTCATGGAGACTTTCCCTGTAATCTTGGAATGTTCGTTGTAGCGCATACCTGGCACATGAAGGACTACACAGAATACCGTAGAATTCCGCCCTCGAAGATGGTAGGATTCCGCCCCAGAATAGGGTAGAATTCCGCTCCAGAATAAAGTAGAATTCTGGCCCAGAATACGGTAGGATTCTGCCCCAGAATTGGGTAGCATTCCGCCCCAGAATAGGGTATGATTCTGCCCAAAATACGGTAGGATTCCGCCCAAAATTTGGTAGGATTCTGTCCCAGAAGACGGTAGGATTCTGCCCCAGAATACGGAAGGATCCCGCCCCAGAAAATGGTAGGATTCCGCCCACAATATGGTAGAATTCTGCTCCAGAATAAAGTAGAATTTTGGCCCAGAATACGGTAGGATTCCTCCCCAGAATACGGTAGGATTCCTCCCCAGAATAGGATAGGATTCCGCCCAAAATACGGTAGGATTCTGCCCCAGGAGACAGTCGGATTTCGCCCTCAATACGGTAGGATTCTGCTCAAGAATATGCTAGAACTCTGCCCTAGAATACGGTAGAATTCTGCCCTAGAATACGGTAGAATTCTGCGCCAGAATACGGTAGGATTATGCGCCAGAATACGGTAGGATTCCGCCCTAGAAGATGTTAGGAACCCTCCCTAGAAGACGGTCTGCCCCAGAAGATGGTAGGGTTCTGCCCCAGAATAGGGTAGGATTCCGCCCCAGAATACACTAGGATTCTACCCAAGGAGACAGTAGGATATCGCTCCAGAAAACGGTAGGATTTTGTGCGAGCATACGGTAGAATTCTGTCTCCAAAGACGGCAAGATTGTGCCTCAGAAAACGGTTGGATTCCGCCTACAATACGGTAGGATTCTGCCCCAGGAGACGGTAGGATTCCGACTCAGAATAAGGTAGGTGTCTGTCCCAGAATAGGGTAGGATTCCGCCCTGGAATACGGTAGGATTCTACCCAAGGAGACTGTAGGATATCGCTCCAGAATACGGTAGGATTCTGCGCCAGAATACGGTAGGATTCCTCCCTCGAAGATGGTAGGAATCCGCCACAGAAGACAGTAGGATTCTGCCCCAGAAGACAGTAGGATTCTGCCCCAGAAGACGGTAGGATCCCGTCCCAGAAGATGGTAGGGTTCTGCCCGAGAATAGGGTAGGATTCTGTCCCAGAATAGGGTAGGATACTGGCTCAGAAGAGGGTAGGATTCCGCCCCAGAATGCGGTGGGATTCCGCCCTAGAATAAGGTAGGATTCTGCCCTAGGAGTCGGTACGATTCTGCCTTGGAATACGGTACGGTAGGATTCCGCTCTAGGAGACCGTACGATTCCGCCCCAGAATACGGTAGGATTCTGCCACAGAATAGGGTAGGTTTCCGCCTAAAATACGGTAGGATTCTGCGTCAGGAGACGGTAGGATTCCGCTCCAGGAGACGGTAGGATCACGCCTGAGAATACGGTAGGATTCTGCCTCGGAATATAGTAGGATTCTGACCCAGAAGACCGTAGGAATCCGCCCCAGAATACGTTAGGATTTCGCTCCAGAATGGGGTAGGATTCTGCCCCAGGAGACGGTAGGATTCCGCCTCAGAATACGGTAGGATTACGCTCCAGGAGTTGGAAGGATTCCGCCTCAGAATACGGAAGGCTTCCGCCTCAGAATACGGAAGGCTTCCGCCTCAGAATATGGTAGGATTATGCCCCAGAAGACGGTGGGATTCCGTCCCAGAATAGGGTAGGATTCCGCCCAAGAATACGGTAGGATTCTGCCCTAGGAGACGGTAGGATTCTGCCTCAGAATATGGTAGGATTCTGCCTCAGAATACGGTAGGATTCCGCCTTAGAATAAGGTAGGATTCTGCCTCAATACGGTAGGATTCCTCCCCAGAATACCGAGGATTCCGCCCCAGAATATGATAGGATTGCACCCCAGAATACGGTAGGATTCTACCTAAAATATGGTAGGATTCCGCTCCAGGAGACGGTAGGATTTCTCCTCAGAATGCAGTAGGATTTCGCCTCGACATACGGTAGGATTCCGCCTTAGAATACGGTAGGATTCCGCACCGGAAGACGGTAGGATTGAGTCTCAGAATACTGTAGGATTCCGCCCCGGAAGACTGTAGGATTTCGTCCCAGAATAGAGTAGGATTCTGCCTCAGAAGACGGTAGGATTCCGCCCAAGAATACGGTAGGAATCCGCTTAAAATACGGTAGGATTCTGCCCCAGGAGATGGTAGGATTCCGCCCCAGAAGACGGTAGGATTCCGCTCCATTAGACGGTTGGATTCCGTCCCAGAATAGGGTAGGATTCTGCCCAAGAATACGGTAGGAATCATAGGTAGGAAGGTGACGGTAGGATTCCGCCTCAGAATACGGTAGGATTCCACTCCAGGAGACGGTAGGATTCCGCCTCAGAATATGGTAGGACTCCGCCTCATAATACGGTAGGATTCCGCTCCAGGAGATGGTAGGATTCCGCCTCAGAAGGCGGTAGGATTCTGTCCCAGTGTGGGGGGGGGAAGGCGTTTTCAAGCTGCCACCAATGTACGAGCGGCTGGTTTTC